AGGGGAAAGAACGACCCACTAATCTTACATCAACTACATAAAGGGGAAGGTGCCGGCGCACGTCGGCAACTGCTCCGACAGCATTATCACGAAAAAAAAAAATTATGTCACACAGGACACATTCAACCTCAGTAACATACCCAGCAGGTCAAGGGCGTTGTGTCGCGTTCCCGCAAGTGACGAGGAAAGAAGAGAAGACATGGGCCGTCCAACCACAACACCTTTCCCCCCCCTCAACAATAACCCAAGTGGTCCCGTGAAGTTGGCATTCATAATTGTACGTCGTAAAATGTAAAGCTATCCAAGAAACGGGGTCTCATCTTGTCTGACACTATTACAATGACAGTTTGGAATACGATTCACATGTGTGAGATGCATGTCAAGTATTTCCTATTTGAACTTTCCAAAAAAAATGAGATGAAGCATGAAAACTGAGTATTCCCTTTTTCTTCCAATCTTTTGAGACCCGAAAAACTGCAGAGCGCCTTTTGTGGGATATAATATGAACAAGAGTTGTATACAAATGCAGATAGAAAAGTAAACAGAGCATGACCATAAAAGCGGCCGATCACCCCTCATGCCATGTACTTGTTGGTGCCGTCTTGCTTGTACAGCCAGTCACGGTTCGCGTCAATCATAAAGTCGGTAATGTTAAACTCATTGCCAAACGGCGCGCCGCCGCCGTTGTTGTTGGTGGTGTTGTTGCTGTTGCTGTTGTTATTGTTGTTATTGTTGCTGTTGTTGTTCACTGCTGCGGCCGTGGTAGCCGCATTCTCGGCCGCGACGGCTCCATCACTGCCCGCGTTGCTGTTAGTCGTAGCGGCGCGGTTGCTATCGTTTGGGCCAGTGCTGCCACCACCTGCACCGTTGGCTGTGTTGCTAGCGTTGTCGTTTCTGCCCGTGTTGTTGGAGCCAGCTACGGGCCCACCACCGATGCCGGATACAATGTTGATACCGTTGCCGCTCGTCTCCGTTGGCAAGCCAAAGGGCAGCCGTGGTACATTGAAGAAATCAAAAACATCCAAATACTCCAACTCGTTAGGCTGCGGCGTTCGTGCCAGTGTCTGGTTCGGGACGCGGCCCATCGTGTGGCTCCCCATTGCGGTCATTTGACTGAGACCACCGTTGTTTCCGTCGGCGCTGCTGCCGCTGGGCATGCGGCCATCATGACCGTAGTGACCGAACTGCTGGCCACTCATGAAGGCGTTGTTGCCGGCCACATGACGCGGTTGCCGGCTGATCAGCAAATCGAGATCGAACGCAGTGCGGCGCATGTCGGCCAAGATCTGGACACTGTTGGGGGTCACACTGTCTCCGTGCCGCTCACTGTCACTGTGCTCGTCGAGCACACGCTGCAAGAGCGCGCAGTACCGCCCGGCTACGGGCCAGTAGCGGCCCATGGCACGGAGCGTGTCGACGAAGAAGTACACGCGGGCGCTCAGCTTGTGCTCGACCGTCGAGCCATGCACGAGGTACAGGCGAGCAGCCACCCAGAGTGAGAACGCAAACGGTGGGCCGAGCTTGGGCAGCAGGTTGTTGGACACGACAAACTCGCATAGTGTGCCAATGTTCTCAACAGCGCTGTGGCAGCGCTGGCTGGCAGAGTAGCTCGGCGTAAAGATGGGCGAGCGTGTCGTCGGGTAGGCGGAGGAGGAGTGCAGCCGGATAATGGCCGTGTGGTAGGTGATATGCAGCATGATCCAGCCGCAGTTGACAACCTTGGCGCAGTTGGGCTGGAACAACTTGGACATGTTGCCATACTCACCGGGCAGGCCGACCTTCCACGAGTTGAGCGTCTGGTCAAGCTCGCGGTATCGCATCTGCCACTGCTCAACGTCGCTAAGCGACGAAATATCGACTGGCTGTTTGAGGAAATTGTGAATCTTGGTCAAAATGCCGAGTATCTCAATGTAGTAGCTGAAGGCACCCAAATTTTCTGGCTTGCCGTTGGAGCCACTGGGACCGCCCGCCTCGGGCTCAAATCCATTCGCACCGAGACTGCCAGGCCCTTCGTTGATCCCACCTCGTGTGTGGTCGGTGTGGAAAAGCCGGGTCTCGACCTTTTGATTTCGGGCCCAGAGGTCGTCGCGGCACGGCAAGGTGCGGTCAATCTCGCGGTCATCGAGCGCAAACTCAAAGGCCGTCGCAATGGTGGCGTAACGATCCAGCAGGTAAATGACCCAGAAGAGTCGCCGGCGTGATTCTTCTTCGATAAAGTCCTTGGGTTCCGGCAGGATCATGGCCCGCAGTGTGTAGATGGATGTGTAATTGGGTGAAACGGAAAATGAGTTGGTCTCAACCGCGAGGCCGAGCTGCACGACCGCTCGAGTAATCAGCGCCATAATGTTCCAGCCTGGAGGCCCGTTGCTGCTGCCACAGAAATCGAGCGCCAGAATGACCAAGGCTTGGAGTGCTTTCACTGACGAATTTTCCATGCCGTAGAGCAACACCCGGTTCTTGGAAATGTCATGGTAGCGCTGGCGCTTCTCTTCTGTGAGCCGCGCGTCTGTGGAGAAGCGCAACGTGGTCGCCACAATTGCGTGCAGTAGAATCTTGTTTGTCTCGTCGGTCATCGCCGCGCCAAACAGCGCCTCGATGGTCGGATTCCGCTGCAAGAGCGGGCACCATGTGTTTATGTGTTTAAAGTAAAGGTCGACCAGTGCGTAGGAGAGGTCGTAGGGAGGGAGGTCTTGGTCTGAGCCAAGATGAGACTTGCCACCGGTCATATTCATCATGGGCGAGGTTGTCGTGGTGACGCCATTGCCCACACCAGGCGGTGCACTAGCTCCATAGTATTCTCGTGCCGCCGGGGTTGAGAGAGGGGAAGGTTGTGAGAGAAGTGACGGCGAGATGCCTGAAATAGGACCGCTTCCTGCGCCGTATGTGGCATTGTTCGCATTGTTCATGGTACCTGGCGATGTCATGGTCATGTCCATTCCGCTGCCGCTGCCGCCACGGCCGGTGAGGGCAGGAGGGCCTCCCGACGGCGCCGCACCCGGTGCGTAAGGCACCGTAGAGGGCTTGTGCAGGAAGAGTGCCGCCTCCGCCTGGGGTGTTTGGGCGGCGTCGATGCGGTTGAAGATCGAAGAGGCAGCGATATGCTCTTGCGGTGTGCCGCGGTCCTCGCCGCTAGCCAGGCTACCATGAACGCTACCTGGCCGCCCGTTGCCGATTGCGGAAGAGTTCTGGAAGCCGGATGGTAATGGGACACTGACGGAAGAGCTGATGGGGTTGCCGGAGGCGTCGAAGGTGATGTGGAGAACCTCGGAGTGCTTGCGGAGGATCGCTTCAAGCTTGTCGAGCCTTGCTTCCAGCTCGCGTCCGTAGCCGGCGCGCAGACCCGGCTTCTTCCGCTCCTTGTACTCGCAGGTGGCGCCATTGCGCGTGCACCAGCCGCACGACGGCTGGCCACGGTCACATTTCACCTACGTCTAGTTAGTACTCGCGACCATGATATGTAGGAAGTTCATGACGACTTACTTTTCTTTGCTTACAGAGTTCGCATCTGGGATTGCCAATCAGGTTAGCGGATGGATGGTCTCTCTTGACGGAACGCTTCTTGAGAGGAGGTGACTCGTCCGCGCTGTCGTCCGACTGGGACGTGGCGTCGGCGATCTCGATCTGAGCCGCCGGAGGTGACTGATAAGCGGCCGCAGCGGCCATCATGTGCAGCAACAAGTCGTCCGCCGTGTAGATAAGGATAAGAGTGAGGCGTGCCAGAAGGCTGAAACGCGTGGGGAAAGAAGCGACGACATTGATTGACGGAAAGATTGACGGAAGTCTGGAATTAAGACGGAGAGTGGTATCCACGGATAGGCACAAGCGGCCGATTGTAGCGCACGAGTATCAAGTCCATGACCACACCGAGTACAGGCATACGCGAGTCTCATTGGCAAGGAGGGGGTCAAGATGACGAACAGACCCGGACATGTGCAAAGTATACGGAAAGGAGGGTATGGTGTCTGGGGAGTATGGGGAAGGAAGCTTGGGCAAGCGTCGGAGCTTGCGAGGACGAGGGGATTGTCACGGAGGGCATGAACCCGAGATGCGAGAGACAACCTTCAACACAGGCTCACACTCGGCACTAGTCGAGGGAAGACGACAAACAGAGTAGTGGTACAGGGAGGGGGCAGAGTTGATGCAGGAATGGAAAGCATGGTCCAAGGAACCCGGGGAAAACCAGAAATGAAATAATGCATGAACGGGGACGAGTTGAATGACCGAAAATGGCCTGAAATCAACAGCAGCGCACAAGATAGACAAAAACAAAGAAATAAAAGAGCACCAGAAAGGCAGGGTTCAGAAAGAGGAACAGGAATCGAAAATACGTACGAGACTGAAATGGGCCGCTTCCGCTTGCCGCTACGGGCGCCAACGCCGCCATCATCGTCACCGTCAATATCGCTTCGATCGTCGCCGTCGTCGCCGTCGCCGCTGTCTGATTCAACGGCCTGTAATTGTTGCTGCTGCTGCAACTGAGGCTGGTTCTGACTATGGCCCTGGGTCTGCAAGGTGTGCAGGCTCGGCTTCGAACCTGGCGTTTGTTCTTGCTGAAGAGGATGGTGCCGGAGTGGCTGCCGGCCGTCGGCTCCAGCTGCTCCTGAGATGGTGCACGCGGCCATCGCGGCGGCGCCTGGACGTGCGGTGGCCAAAGCCGTGCTTCCTGCACTTCGTGCAACCGACCGCATGGGTTGCTTGGTCGCTGGCCCGCGCCTTGATTTCGATTCGTATGAATAGTAGTCCGGATGCCGAACCTTGCGGGAATGGATGTGCGCAAACTGTGTGTGCAGAAAGCGGGAATACGCAGTGTGTCAAAATCCTGCTGCACCTCGGGGGCAATTGTCGCAGATAGCTTCTCCTCCTTTCTCCTCACTTTGCCGCTCCTTGTCGATGGGACAAGATGACAGGCCCCAGGTGTGCCTGGCGCTGGCCCCTCGCGATCGGGGGAATAGAAGCACAACACTAGGGGACAAAAATTAAACTATAAAAGAGGATAAAAAATGACGAAAAGTCATTATGGCCACCGAGCATGTCACATCACAAGCTCAGTTTCGCCGCGGTCAATCCACGGTCAGACGGAACCTCTGAGCAGTGTTCCCCAGCATTTCAAGTCAGAGCGCCAAGGGCCCCATGTGCGAGGCGTGGTGGATGTGGGGGGGGGGGAGCGTCTGGAGTCGACAACGAAGCAGGTGAAAGCCGCTGTCGTCGGCAGAGGTAAACGCAGCGTCGTTGGAAAGGATTATCCTGCTGGTGGTCTCGGGTCAATGTTGTAAGCTCGGGCTATTGTCTCACGTTTTGGAGACATCCCGAGGAACAGAACTTGTAGACTCAAGGGATATGGGTCACACCCACCAGCACCGAGGTCCCCGTGCTAACTGAACTGGCCTGCCTAGCCCTGGTCGTTGTATGGCTGTGGAGACGACCAGCCTGTTTGCCTTGGTCTGTGACATACTCGGTTGTGACTGTGTGCAAAAGGAGACTACGAGAGACGAAAAGAGGGTCGTGGATGGCGCTATGAAGCATTGACTTCTGTTGGGGTCTGTTGTTCCCCTGCGAGCTCGGCTTACGGTTTAGTGAATTCCGGGCGCAAGTTCTGGCATGTGCAGACCGCTCGCACCTGCTTGAAAAGATGAATTGACACTGCAAAAGTGGGGATCGATAATTGGTATCCTATCTTCCCAGCATTGCGAACAGGTCTTTGTCCAGCTTAGACCACGATGAGAACGCGCTGGAATATGCCCTCTACTTGCTTGCGCACACCCGTGATTCCATGCAAGATGCTGCCGTGAGGTTGTCCAAAGCCGTAGGTCCGTTTAAGCCGATACATGTCCCCGTTGCCGCTTATCACCATTCTCGGCTTTTCTTGCACAGCCGCGCTTTCCTCCAGTGTCTTGAGTGATCTTTTTGCACCTTCCTTGCGTGCTGCCGCTGGCGTGCTATGTCTACGAGCCCATTAGCCATATGTCCGGCATATTGCACACTATCGTCTACTGTATTACCACCCGCCATGCTACGCTTTCTTTGGATGCGCTAGACAAAAGCTAGGTTGCATCTATACGCAACAATCGAATGATTCCACTGCCGGGCACCGTATCTGCAGCGGCTGCTGCAGCATTTTTGTAAAGCCGCGTGACGGTGCACTTTGTTTCCTTTGTTCCACCTTGGAGGCTCCTCCCAACGACAGACGGAGCCCACTTTTACTGGCCCTGTTTCTCGTAAGGAAACCTGTGAAGGTGGGGTTTCTCTCAGATTGCTCGCCTGTGCGCCGTCGGTGTATCATAGGCCGAAGAAGAGTCGCTCCATCGCCACCGCCTCGCACTTGGAGAAAGGTACAGCAATTTTGAGTGACACGAGGGGGCTCGTTGCTTAGAATCGCCCCTCACGCGTTCCCCAGATACTGTCGCGCCAGCCCCGTAGATGAGGGCTCTGCGTCGGCTGTGCTTGCTATTTGAGAGGTGTGCTCTTACGTTAAGGCTGCCCGCCGCCGAATTATATGCCATAGCTTTTGGTGTGATGTGATCGAAGCAAGGTGCGTTTGCAAATGCCAATAGCCAAGTAGAAGAAAAGGCTGGTACATTGTTTGTACTCTCCCGGTCTCGCAGTCGCAACTGGAATCCGAAAGCCAAAGCTTCTGCTACATCTACCCGCGCTTTCCTCTTTTGTCTTTCTTCGCACTCCCTCCACTGTCTCTCGCCATCCTTTATACGCTCTGGTCCAGCCTTTTCTCTCGCCTTCGGACCACCAGCTCTTTCTCGTCCCATATTGTCCCAGTCTGCTCCATCCTCTGTCTCTTCCGTTCCACGAAAACAAACCGTGTGGTCGTCAAAATGGCCTCAGTTAAGGACTTCCCCAAGATCAAGGCCGTCCGGTCTTTTATCATCGACGGTGTTGGTTCCGGTGCGTTCTACTGCCCTCCGGCTGAGCCGAATATCTTGAACTCATCTCGGTCTCATTGCTAACATACCTGTCCAGGCGGTGACTACCACAATGTCAAGGGTGGCCATTGGTGAGCCAGCCCCGCAATGTCCCGGTTGACACCTTCCCCTGCCACTTCCCCTCCCCGGTCGTTTGCTAACATGCGCCTTCGCTACTTCCGCCAGGCTCATCGACACTCCCATTTCAACGCCCTGCTCCGGCTGGGAGAAGTACCGGTCTTCACGGACAAACTGGGGCATTAACGTGCTCGGCTCCTTTTTCGTCGAGATCGAGGCCACCGATGGCACAGTCGGCTTTGCGACGGGTTTCGGCGGCCCGCCAGCCTGCTGGCTGGTGCACCAGCACTTTGAGCGCTTCCTGATCGGCGCCGACCCCCGCAACACGAATCTGCTGTTTGAGCAGATGTACCGTGCGTCCATGTTCTATGGCCGCAAGGGTCTCCCCGTCGCCATCATCTCCGTGATTGATTTGGCCCTCTGGGATCTGCTGGGCAAGATCCGCAACGAGCCCGTCTACCGCCTCATCGGTGGCGCCACCAAGGAGCGCCTCAACTTTTACTGCACAGGGCCCGAGCCGACTGCCGCCAAGAAGATGGGCTTCTGGGGTGCCAAGGTGCCGCTGCCGTACTGCCCGGAGGAGGGTGCTGAGGGCCTGCGCAAGAACGTCGAGTTCCTGCGCAAGCACCGCGAGTCGGTCGGCCCGGACTTCCCCATCATGGTCGACTGCTACATGTCGCTCAACGTGCCATACACCATTCAGATTGTTGAGGCCACCAAGGACCTGAACCTGAACTGGTGGGAGGAGTGCTTGTCACCGGATGACACGGACGGCTTCGAGCAGATTAAGCGCGCCCACCCGACGATGAAGTTCACCACAGGCGAGCACGAGTACTCGCGCTACGGCTTCCGCAAGCTGATTGAGGGCCGCAACCTCGACATCATCCAGCCCGACGTCATGTGGCTGGGTGGCATGACCGAACTGCTGCGCGTGAGCGCCATGGCCGCCGCCTACGACATCCCCGTCGTGCCGCACGCCAGCGGTCCGTACAGCTACCACTTTGTCGTGTCGCAGCCCAACACGCCCTTCCAAGAATACCTGGCCAATTCGCCCGACGGCAAGAGCGTGCTGCCCGTGTTCGGCGACCTCTTCATCGACGAGCCGATCCCGTACCAGGGCTTCCTGACCACGGCCGACCTTGACAAGCCCGGCTTCGGTTTGACACTGAACCCCGCCGCCCGCCACAAGCTGATCCCGTCCACCTACCTGCTGAAGCCGCCGGTGCAGGCGTCCCTGCCGCCACCAACAGAGGAGAAGAAGGCGCAGGTGAACGGCACCACGGCGGCAGAGCCCGCAGCCGCAAAAGAGACGTCCCAGTAATCGACAGGTGTTTATCCTGCTTGAAAACCATAAAAGAAGGAAAACAAATCTCACTTGTAATTAGAATGTTCTTGGTATTTGCATACAGCCAACCCAGAGCAGCGCAGGACGCACACGGTATCATGGAGTCGCTTGTAGCCTACTGTTCTCACGTTTGCTTTCTTTGCATCACGCATAGCTCTTGTTTTGGTTAGCTTTTCTCACCTATACTTCCTGCATCCCCTTTCCTGCTTACACTTCGACCTACAGAACTAGAAATCCTACGACATGATACTACACATTGAAAGTTTATTTGATGGTAGGGCGACAAAGGCTTCAGTGGCTCGCACTTCTTTGCGCCGAGGCCGTGCCCCGCTATGGTGGACTACCCTCAACTTTTCACAGGCATTTCCCGGGAAGAATGGATAAACAATCGCGGAACGATAACAAGTAGGAAATATAAATAAAAAGGAGGGTAAAATATAAAGAAACCACGGGATCAATTTTTAGTTAAGCTGTACAATTTTACGTTGCTGGGGCTAGACTGTAGCCTGCCATCAGCGGGTTGTCTGTTATTTTCATGCATACAGAGAACAATTGCTAGGTCCCGCTTACGACTACGACAAAAACCACACCCGGCCGAGATCCGAAATTGATTTGCGGAGAAGAGAGAGAAAACAGTGTGGGGAATGCCTGCAGGCGCCAAAGCATTACTCGCTCTGGTTATTAAGACAGACAAGGCAATGACCGTCCCACCCGACCTGCCCGATCAGGCAGCTGGGGCAAAGCAGACAACCAACAGAGAGCAAACGTGGTGAAGGTCGGAGAAGAAGTATTTCTACCCCGGAGCGCCGGATCACGGCCAATTCGCGGCCATTCTGCGGTGCATGGTAGCAAGACACCTTGCGCTTTACGCCGGACCGTACAGCTATAGCGTGCGGAGACCAAGATCGACAGAAACGATGCATCGACCCCTTGCAATTCCACACCACATTTATCCCAAAACGTGTCGGCTTGTCACGTGGTGGAAGAGAACCGGGAAGCAACTTTCATCCCAAAATCTGAACAACGACATTGCGACGATGGAACGGCAGATCTTATCATCTTTGGGGGAGAGACACCAGACCTGGCGCGAATTATGTCTGGCTCAAGAGATTTTCGGCGAGAACGGCGGAGTGGGAAAGGGAGCACTGAGAATATGGGATACGAGCAAGTTAATTTAAACTTTAGACATGGTGCACGCGGCGATGCACCACGCGGACAGTACAAGGTCGCAAACCGGCTGTAGGCAAATCCGTCCTCAGTGAAGCTGTGGAAGGTCCACGTACCTGCTAAAGGCGCCTTCCCGGTACAGAAGCACGCATCAACACTGTCCAACATTCACAGAACACGCACAATCAGAGAAAGGAAGGTGCAGTCCACAGACCGCTGTCTACGACGTAATAACAAGAGAAGATTGGAAAGAGCAAAGGGGATGTTTATAAACAAGGCGTGCATTGGCTGGGCTTTCTTCTCCAGTCCCATGACGCACTGCCGCCACCGTCTCCTCCCTCCATCCGCTATAATCGCTGCAGCATGCAACCATCCATCCGTCGTGCCACCGTGCTTGTGCCGTTCGTTAGACACTTGCAAATCGAATTTCAACTCCTCTCGGCCCACAGAACATGATCAAACCCTGTACATACGACCCCAGCTCTGTTGATCAACCCCGCGAAGTGGTGAGCATGTCCTTTTTTTCGACATGATCAGCCAATGATCGACCCCCCAGCCATACGACACAAACATCTCACAGTTGTCACTCTGAGGCATGCATCAGACTCACCATCCTGCCTGCCATACAACGGTTTGACTGGCAGATCGTGGTGCTAGCACACCAGGTCGCGGTGCGTCGGGGGGGGTGTACGATAGATATATTTAAGGGGGGCCGGTTGTCTGGCCAAGAGCAAGTCGGTTGTTCTGCCACGAGAATGAAAACGAAGCAGACGGCACGACACATTCCTAGAGTCAACCCCACAGGAACTCTCCCGGCTTAATCTATTACCCATAGAGGCGGTGTATATTTTGCTGGAAATCTAGACGTTCTCTTCTCTGTGTTGTGAAGCAACCAGATTCATACTTTGACAGAACAACATGACGAGACGCTCCAAGATCGCCGCTGCCGGCGTGCTAGCCGGTCTATGGACGGCTGGTACGGCCGTCGGTCAAAGTTGCCCGGACTACTCGACATACGCCATGAATGCGCACGCGCCTCTAAGCAACGGCTCCTACCAACTGGGATACATGCGTCCGGACCCCGCATGCCGCACCTTTAACTTGACCGAAGTCGAGTCTACAATCACGTCGATGGCGAGGAGCATCTCCGACCCGGACCTGTACCGGCTCTTTGTCAATGCCTTCCCCAACACGCTGGACACGGCCATCCGCTGGAAGGGTGTGGCAGCTGACAATGCCGACGAGGAGCTGACATTTGTCATTACTGGCGACATTGATGCCATGTGGCTGCGCGACTCGTCGAACCAGATGCAGTCGTACCGCTCGCTGCTCAAGGCGTCCTCGGACCCCAACAGCCTCGCATCGCTGTACCGCGGTGTCATCAATCTGCAGGCCCGCTACCTTCTTGAGTCGCCTTACTGCAACAGCTTCCAGCCGCCGGTGGAGTCGGGCATCGCGCCGGCCACGAATGGTGCCGCCAAAGACGACACTGTCACGCCACCCTACGACTCCACCAAAGTCTTTGAGTGCAAGTACGAGCTTGACAGTCTGGCTGCTTTCCTCGAGGTGTCGTCAGACTACTTTACCGCCACGGGTGACACGGCCTTCTTCGGAAAATTCAAGTGGCTCCAGGCGCTGCAGGCCGTCCTCCAAACGGCCACGTCCATGATGACGCCGACATATGGTGACAACGGGACCGTTCTTACGTCGCCATACACGTTCACTCGGATGACCACGCGTAGTACGGAGACACTCGCAAACAATGGGCTGGGCAGCCCCGTGGCGGCCAACACGGGTCTCATTCGGTCGGCATTCCGCCCCAGCGATGACAGCACGCTGCTGCAGCTGTTCATCCCGGCCAATATGATGTTTTCGCACTACCTGGAGCAGACGGCTAAAATCGTGGACAAGCTCGGTTCTGCCGCGCCCAAGGGTCTTGGCTCCCAGATGCATAGCCTTGCTTCTTCGCTGCGCAACGCCATCCTGCGCCACGGCATCGTGGCCGACACCAGGGCCGGCGTCGCCGGCGCTCCAGTGTACGCGTACGAGGTCGACGGCTACGGCTCGTCCATCATCATGGACGACGCCAACATTCCAAGCCTGCTGTCGGCACCCTTTTTTGGCTTTACGAGCATCAGCGACCCCGTCTACCAAAGCACACGCGCTGCGATCCTTTCCGAGACGCCGCGGCCGGGCCCAAGCCAGTACAACAGCAACCCGTACTTCATGCACGGGCCTGTGATCAGCGGCGTCGGCGGACCCCACCAAGGCCCGGGCTATGCGTGGCCCATGGCCAGCATCGTGCGCATCCTGACGTCAGACGACGACGACGAGATTGTGGACCAGCTGCATACTCTTGTCAGCAGCACGTCCGGCCTGGGCCTCATCCACGAAAGCGTCAACACATTTGATCAGAGCAAGTGGACACGGCAATGGTTCTCATGGGCCAACGGCCTCTTTGGGCAGATGATGCTCGATCTCAAGGAGCGGAAGCCGTCTCTTCTCAAGCGCAGCTACCAGCCATAGCGTGCGAGGCGCCGAGGTGGCAGGTCAGAGATGCAGGTACTGACAATAGAACTAGTGACGTTCGTCAAAGGGATATCAGGTTCACTTATGGTACTCGCGGCGGTAGTCGGTATGGAACAAATGGTCGTGAGGTCGGACATCAAATCGAGGATGAAACTGGACTGAATAAATCGATGGGGGGACGTGGGGAGAGCGGAGAGTTCTTTATGATCATCGTCATCTTGAAAGAACCACGAACAGAATTTAAAATAATGAATAATGTTTTTCAGTTCTTTAATCACAACGACAAACGTGTTCACCAATACTAACTTTGAGGTAAAGAAATGCATCTCTGCAATTGATAAGGCCGAGGGATATTTTCAGAGAGAGTTATGTGTCGGCCTTACATAGGAGACATTTGACACAGGCTGGCGCACGAACACAGGAAAACATAAAAAATGCGGGGAACATCACCCAGTAAGTACAGGAAACCGGAAGCAACGCGTCACACTAGGTGTTGCAATGCTCCTTTCACACTCAATGTTTAGACTTGTTGCGGTATCTTTGTCCGCAGGTCTGGAAATCGTGTCCCGGGCAGAGGCGTAGTCCCGTTAAGACGATCACCAGACTAGCACGCAAGCTAACATCAACCCAAACCCAGTACCAACACCACACCATTCATACACAGGATAAACGACGATACTATGCAAGAGCTTAGAGCCCGTCCCACTTCACTCCATTTTCTCATTTCCTTGATAGATGGCCCATCGCCAAGTGTTTGCTTGCTGTGACGCGTACCGCACTTTTTCCCATTTCTGTCCCTCCGGCTCTCGTTCTCCTCCCACCAGGCTGAACATGTCCAGAATGGGGAGAGGCAGATCACAGCTCCAACGGAGAGTCGTGAGAAGGGCCTGGACGCCCTGCCCAGTAAAGCATCGCGATTTGACCCCTCCTCCTTGTTGATCGGTTTGTTATTGGAGACCGTATCTGAACTTGGGACAAGGTATGCTCCATATTACAAATGATTTCCGTCTTCCCCTCGCTGCGTCTCCGAGATCCCAGTTTTGTGTTAACGACTGGCTTCGTGATAGCTTCGACACAACGACAGAACCACGACACACCTTGCCACTTTCTACATACCTCTCTGTGCAGCAACACAATGGTGGAGTCCAAAGTTGGCATTGTGACCGGCGCCGCAGTAGGTCATGGCCTTTCTTTTATGATAAATAGTGCCTCAATGGAGTACTCACTTACACCTCGCAGTCTGGCATGGGCAGGGCGCTCGCCACGTATTTTGCTGCCCAGGGCTGGCGCCTCGCCCTCTGGGACGTCAACGCCAAGGTCGGCGAAGAGCTCGCCGCTGAGCTCGGCCCCGACACCTTCTTCGTCCAGTGCGACGTCTCCAGCTACGAGTCCCAGGCCAGCGCCTACCTCCAGGTCTGGAAGAAGTGGGGGCGCATCGATGCCCTGCTTGCCAACGCCGGCATCGTCGAGCGCTCCTCCCTCTTCATCTTCAAGCACCGAGGCAACAAGGTTGAGGAGGTGCCCCCGGCTCCCAACTTGGCCTGCACCGACATCGACTACAAGGGTGTCCTCTACGGTGTCCAGCTCGCCATCCACTACATGCGCCACAACCCCGACAAGCCCGGCGGCAAGATTGTCGTGACGGCGTCCAACGCCGGCATCCATCCCCATCCCTCGTACCCCGAGTACAACGGCGCCAAGGCCGCCGTCGTCCAGTTTGTTCGCGGCGCCGCCGAGGTGCTGAAGATCAAGGAAAACATTCTCATCAACTGCGTCTGCCCCGGCATCGTGCGCACAAACATTATCCCGCCCGAGATGGTTGCTGCTGTGAGCGCCGAGTCACTGACGCCGCTCGACACGATTACGCAGGCGTACGCAGGCTGCCTGGCGGACGGAGACACGCGCAGTGGCGTCATCCTCGAGTGCAGCGGCACGCAGATCAGCGACATTGACTACTCGCGCCTGACGTTCAAGAACGGTGTGCCGAGCGTCCGTTCCATCACCGTGTGGGATCCGCTGTTTAAGCAGATTCACGGCGAGGCGAGTGAGTTGCCATCTGCAATTCCGTAGAGTTCGAAAGATGGAATCACTGGGTTCCGTTGGTATTGGCCCATGTTGACCTTCGCCACGGGCCAGTATATACAAGACGACAATCAAGAGCTAGAATGAGATCAACGTGTTTTGTACTACTTGTTCAAACGTGACATGAGTGCAATATGTACACCAAGAAGAGAATTAAGACTAGAAAATACAGATTGTGGAGCAAATACTACCGAGAGAGATGGGATATGAAGAAAGAAAAAAAATAGGGGAAATACAAAAGGTGTAAGTCACATCTCATTCGCCGTTTTTGATGGTCCTTTTGCTTTTATCATTTTCTGGCCCAGAGGCAGGGCCACCAATATCCCCTTGCCAAACCCCCCTGAATTTGTGGGATCCATGTCAGGAACCATGTACAAAACCAATTAACAAAACCTACTCAATTGCGATTGGCAACTCAAGTTAAAATACATATCCGAACCAACCCTGTCATTTTTTCCTTTGCTCAAGAGCCTATGGCTCTTGCAATACATGATGAGTGGGCATTCGTATATGCTAACTAATGGCCGATGCCCGGACAAGTTCGCAAGTACAAAGCCCACCATAAAACACAAACATGAGATCAACTCGTCGGGGTATATGCATCCAAATCCACAGGGCGCACCGTCCTTTTTCGCCAGCCCCGTGTTTCCAAGAACCATGTTACTAGTGGCCATTCACAGCAACATCGACATCCATTTTGGTGTCATTCATGGCATTGTTGCTCTGGCATCTTCCTCGGCAACATCAGCGGGCTTTGCCTTGCCTTTCTTGTGGTCCTTCTCCTTGCCTCCATTGCCGTCGTCTTTGTTGTCGCCTTCTACCTTTTTGTCTGCATTTGCTCCGGTACTAAGGAACAAGGCACGAAATTCGGCATTCGACTTCTTCGTGGGTACTGGTTCCGATCTAGAGGCGGTCGTCGATGTGCCATTGATGGTGGTAGGTTCACCGTTGCTTTTGGCACCTGTCGATGCCGACAGTGCAGTGAATCCAACGCCCCGTTTCGCACCTTTGCCACCCAGGACAGGGCGCTTCATGTGAGTGGGCATTAAAGTTGTTGCGGATTCCGTCGGTGCTGCTGCCGTCGGGCCCGCGCTCTTTTTCGAGGGAGTGGTCGACGAGGTAGCCGCTTTTGGAGGACGCGGCGCAGGCTTGTCCATCCGGTCGGAGCGGACTTCGGCTTTCTCCTTGAAGAGCTGGGCAACAGTGCCGGTTCGGAGGGTGTGTTGGTCGAGTTGCGCGCCTTCGAGCGCCAACTGCGCTTTGCCAGCCGCGACCGCATCCGCAAACTCGACAATGGCGCCGCCATGATCGGCACGAAGCACAAGTTTCGTAATGTGGCCGTGGGGCTCCACCAACGCCCGAACACGGGCGATGTTGACCGTGTCTGGAATGCCGAGGAGAGCAAACGTCCGGTTGCGAAGTGCCTCTTTGTCTGCATCTTTGGCGTCGGCACCGTTCGACCTGTCATGTGAGTCGTCGCCGCCGGCTACCCCGGAAGCTATTGACTCTGCGGCGACAGACGTTTCTCGTGCCGAGGGTCGGGAATTTGTCGGCACGGAGATTTCAACAGTTAGAATCTGAGAACCCATTTTGACCTGATTTAGTTCTGACACTGCCCGGTTCGCCTCCTCCTTGGTCTTCATGACGACGAAAGCAGAGCCACGGCTGCGGCCGGCAATGTTGCGCAGAAGGCGAACACGATCAACAGCTCCGTGTTTGGCGAAGAGAGTCTCAATGACCTGTTCGTCCGCATCAAACGGAATGTTTTTGGCATGCACTTCGCGGCCTTCGTCTGTAGCCCCGTCTCGTGCCTTCTTAGCTGAAGGGTCGGAGTACTGCACCGACAATTTGTACTTGCCCTCGAGCAACTGTCCATTCAGTTTTGTGGCCTTGGAGGCCGACTCGCTATCGCGGAACGACACGTAGCAGAAGCGACGGTGTGCATTGTACTTCAGACTCGGCCACCGAATGCCGAATATGTCTCCACTTTGATCGAAAAGCTGGTGGATAAATGCATCATCGGCCGACGGTGGAAAGTTCGTGATGTAGAGTGTAATGCCCGTTGCCGGTTTGACAGAGATATTACGGTCACCAAAGTACTTCCCGTCGCGAATCATTGCAGACTGCACATCCTCAGCAGACCTGAACTCAACCAACGCGACCATAGACTTGCCATGGTCCTCCTTCTTGAGCTGCATGTTGTTGATGTGGCCGTACTCGCGGAAATATTGCCGCACCTTGGTAGATGTAACGTCGACCGGCAGGTTGGATACAAAGACGGACGTGTTTTCGCGGTCACGTTTGAGGGTATGGTTTTGTTGTTCATCGCTTTGGGCAGAACCGTTCTCGCTTTTCGGCCTTTTCGTCGCAGGCCCGGTAGCGTCCTTGTTGGCATTCGATTCCCACTTTCGTTTCACCCCAGAAGTCGGATCTTCAAGTACACGCTCTGGTTCTCGGTGGCCGGTACTAGCTTCGACAGAAGTAGCGGGTCCTGTCCCTACGTAGGTTCCAGCCTGTGTCCGTGCTTGAGCATCGGCTTGGGCGGCGGCTTGTGCCGCTGCGGCCTCCTTGCGTTGTTGCGCTATGGCTTTTCGGATGTTGTGTACATCGTCGAGGGCACCGCGCAGAACGTCAGAGCTTTCAAAGTCGTTGCAATGTTGCAAATAGATTTCCATGATACGCTCGGGCCAATTCAATTGGGGATCGTGCAGGGCTCGGCTGAGAACACTTGCGGGGCGCGTCGGCGTGCGCGACATTCGTGTCGGGGGTGCTGGCGTTGGGCTTCGGCCGGTTCCTTTCTGTGACTGAAAAAGGTTCATCTCCCACAGATAGTAGCTTAACCAGAAGCTGTAGTCATGGGCGAGCAGTTCCTTTTTAGCCAACTTCTCCCAGTGCTCGCGTGCCTCATCAATGGCGCCGTGCTTTTCGGTCAGGTGGTAGATCATGATTCGTTCGAGGCGGAAGTTGGGGTCGCCCTGGAAGGCGCTGCCGAATCGACGCTCGCCCCAGACCTGGACGGCTTCGAGAGCAGCCACGAGGCCAGAATCAGCAAGATCGACAGCTTCGTCGGACGCATTCGGATCAATGGCACAACGGCGCAGGTAGCCACACCAAGCAGCATACATGTCGACAACCGCAGCCATACCGTCACGATCCAAGGAACTGTTTGTGGCAGCATGCTTTATACGTTCCATGTCGGAGAAACTGAGACTTGCCTGCTCACCGCTGATGATATACCGAACCCAGAGGGCGCCAGACCAGGGGCAGTGCTGGACGGCGCGCTGCAAAACATCGAGGCTATTCGGAAGAAAACGCGCCAGTTCCTCGTTGCGGTTCGGGCCGTCTCCCAACTCACTCCGAAGCTGCGAGATAAAAACAACCAGGTCGGACCAAGCCGTGTCGTCTGTTTGGAAGACGCTGGTCAACGCGCGTCCGAAAAGACCCAGCGCAACGCGCATGGCCAAAACCTTGTCGTTCCGCTCGGCCAGGGTGTTTGCTACCTCCCACCCCAGATATCTCGACATGGCTTCGCGGTGAGCCTCTTCGTCGCCGGCACGGATGGCCGCCCGCAATGCCATCTCCATTGGATCGCGTTGTTCGTAGATGGCTCTTGCAGTTCGCGATTGCTCCGTCACGGCGCGCATCGTGTCTTCGTAGGCGGCTGGGTTGTACTCTGACAAAAAGGAGCTAAACGCCGAAGACGTGTCGTCCCAGGCCGCATGTGGTATTGTCAAGCGATTGCGATATAGATGGGTTATGCGCCGAACGCCCTCGACGGTGCGCGTCCGGTCGAGAAGGTCACGCTCCAATGCAATCCATCGATTCCAAAGCTCGTGACTGTCGCTGAGGCGGTACTTGGTCGCTTCGTGACCTTCGCTCCACAGGTGGAGAGCTGCATCGAGCGAAAAGATGTCGCAAGCGGCCTGCTGTTCGTCCTGAGGCCAGGCAGCAACGCTGCCGCTCCGCTGCATGCACTCGAAATAGAGCGCCCAGAAGTATTCGCAGTAGGCGATCCACACGCGTATGCTGCCAGGCTCGGCGTTGACGGCGGCGCGGTAGAGTTCAACAACACGGATGCGTTGCTCCAGTCCTGTCGCGTGGCGGCGCCGTTGTTCGATGTAGTCAAGCCAGCTATCTTCGCCTACGGGCGAAGGGGCGGGAGGCGGAGAGCTGGCCATAATGGCTGAGGCGTGCGAACGGAGGTAGTAGAATTTGGGACCATCGGTTTGACTCGCAGGATGAACCGAGAGAGAAAGAGAGAGGTTTGTAAACGGCAAAATAGAAAGGAGGCTCAAAAGGCTCAAAAACCAAAGAAAAGTAGCCTCTCGCTTTTGTCGTCCTTCTTGGCTGGCAGCGTGAAAAGTTTATCGTTTCAGGTGGAGGCGGCGCGTGGCGCTGCTAGTGTAAGATAGGACAACTGAGTATGTTATGAGCACAGCGAGACGGGAGACGGCGAAGAATGACGATGCGTGTTGTTGGCTGACTGGCAGCTGCAGACACAGGGTGGACGATGCAGATGCAGGGTAACAAAAAAAAAGTTGTAAGAATGGACCTCAACACCATGAAAAGGAGACGAACAGTTGAGGAAAGAACTAGGATGGGTGGTGTATGACGGATGGAGCCTCTCCCTTCTGCCTTACGGACGGAGTGAAGGAAGGCGCAACTGGTGGCCGGCTCGGGGTTTGGAAGGTGAAGAGACGTGCTAGAGCTGGTAGATGGACAGTTTCGTGGTCGCCCTTTGCTGCATCCTGTTTCCGCGTTGCGTACGGAGTAGTTTCTTTGTTGCGACGAAGCGCAGCCCGCCTTTCTTAGCTCCTTGGGAGGCCGGCGGCGTTGTCATAGTCCGCGTGGTGCTGTTTTGTATTATTTTGTCTCCAAAGAAGCGAGTTCCAGCGCAATGGATTGGCAGGCAAAAGTGGGCTCCTGCCTTCCAAAGTGGGCTCTTTCTGTGGGCGGCGTATTTCCCGGCAGCGCCATAGCGAGCGCAAGCGGGGCGTCCTACGTAACTGTCGAGATTATGCCTCAGGGGAGTGCGGCCTATTCCATGGGTAACCCGAGCACTAATGCTGCAGCGGGTTGCACTCTAAATATCTTACCCACGACACCAGATGTTTCTGACGTAGTGACAGACGGCAGGCGACTTGCCATTGGTGACGGCAGGAACGGTCGTTGCTGCGAGGTGCGCCTTCTTGACTCTGGGCGGCCGGTATCTTGGATTTATCTGAACAATATACGAGTACGCGTCCTGGCTTCGTATCTTCATCCCCCTTTGCTGTGTAGATTTGGCTGAACGTCTCGACTCCTTCGACATGCCGCCGTTATCACAACACCGGAAGATTTTCCCCACGTTTACAAAGACGCAAAGTCACGGCCACACATTCCTTCGCCCAGATGCCCTTGTAGCACTGTCCTGACATTTCCCATTCCACCAAGTGATTCAGCATCTCCGCGGTTTTGCTCCCTGGTGGTTTGTCTGTTTCTCACAAACACTACGTCACATGCTGTGCAACCGCTAAAACAGGCTGGACTAGATGCGCGAACTCAACCTCCCGCGGTGAGCCACGACAGGAGGGGGAAAGATGCAACCAACGCAAAACAACCAACGAGACGGCAAAGAGCTGAAGGGGGCTAGATCACCGGCTGTGTCTCGCTCCTCCACGCATCGAAAACTTAAATCAAGAGGCACAGCGCAAATAGGGTTGGCGAACTTTTGCGGGCAGACAGGGCCACCCGAGTGTCTAGGATGAAGCGCAAAGGTTGACATTCAGCCCGTCTCTGTGTATTGGTTTCTCACACCTGTGGATATTTTCTCAAGACCGCGTCGTTTTTAGAGGAGCCATGTTCCATGAAAGTCTAGTCATCCGCTGATCGCTACCACATTTTGCCAAGGATCAGTTGGGCGGGTTCTGGTCAAGGCTCGCAACAAAAGGAGACGAAAGGACGAGGAATACGCTTTCATACGACACAATGCCAGGCCAGGCATGCTGAGCAGCGCATAAGAGGAAGCAAACGACGCTTGACAGCCACTGGATCGCAACAACCCACGCACAGAAGAATGGAGCAGCGCCCTCGCGTTTTCCATTTCCCATCTCCACTGTGAGACGGTGCACATACCCCGAGGTCCGGCTCGCCAACTCACGCCTTGACGACTGTCGTTGTTACACCCAGTCTCAGCGGACTGTGGCGGGCTTGCAGAGTATTGTGAGCATTTGCCAGGTTAAACAAATACCTGGGCTCACAGGAAAACAGACCAGTTTTGAAAACACGCGATCGTCAGTGCGTTCTCCGATTTACACCCGGCGGGACTGGCCCTGACAACCAGGGTCAAGTTCAAAACCCTTTCCCTCGCATTTCCCTCGTTTTACTCCGTACTTTACCCTCAGAACTTGCTTCAGTTCGCTTATTTTGCCTAGCAATCCAAGGTACACGTGATAGGCCTGGCCAGGTGCCGATCTTGCCGATCGACGTGGGAGAATGGAAGGCGGAAATAGTTGCCCCCAAACATCCCAGAGCTTGACATTGTCCTGAGGCATTGAATCTCGCCAATTCGGGAACGCCCCGTCTCTGTTCTCTTCCACAAAATGATCAAAGAATCGGATGAGACGATTCCCAATGCCTTTTGGTGAGAGTGGAGAGACGAAACAGAGGGAGAATGTCCATCATTCGTCTCCTGCGTCGATGTCAAAACCGATCACAGCAAATACCCAAAGGGAGCCTGGCGCCGGGCTATCTCCTGTTTATGCCCTGGTCACAATGGCTTGGCGCTGCGGAAGAGCTGGTCGCGACTTATTTCCCAGCCAATCTGGTACTAGAGGACTTCGTAATACCCACGGCTGAATCTTGTAACAGACGGCAGGTCAGTGAACAAAAAAAAAAAAAAAAAGGAAATAGGAAAGCCCCTTACGCTGGACGCCCGATGACGTCGTCCCGCATTGTTGGCGCCGGAGGGCCTAGCCCAGTCCTAGACGGTTTTTTGTGCTGCATGTTCCAGACCACGTTACCCTTATTTAAGGTAGCAATTTCAAAATTTCAGGGTATTTTTCCCCAGCATGTTAGGCGAACCAACAAATCCATGTGCAAAAAGAAAGCGGAGAAGTGGATGAAGAGACTTGTCCCAGTCCGGGCTCCATGGGTGGTGCGTGTTTAGATTGCCAACAGGTGAGTTTACCAGCTTTGTTGTCCCTGCTCCTCACACGCCTGTTTTTCTCGTCCAGCGCCAAACACGGCTATCCGGCATTCAACAAAGGGAGCTTGGCTTGGCCCGACCAGTCTCATCCCTGAACATCAATTTTCTCTCGTTTTCTCTTGCCAAGGGAGATAGCCATAAAACTTGAGTGAAGAGAATGCCAATAGGCAACCAGGGTCACACCGCAACAGGACGGCTCTTTCATTCATACCAATCAGAAGATTTGGAGTTATCCCCATCAGTACTTGTGCTCGGACTTCGGTCCACGGCGTATCAACATCCCGATTCGGGATGACCAGTCTGTTACATCTTTCCTAATACATTAAAATCAAATGAGAGTAAACTATGTCGCGTTCCTATCTAGACCGAGTCGGCATTCTCTACTACAGGACTGACCAAGAACAGACGATGCTGAATGATATCGATTAGGTCTGTTGCCGGACGGGCAGCCAGCAGCGAGCGGCCAGCAGCCGTCTCCTTGATCAACTAAAAAGGCAAAGTCAGCTTCGACCGTCTATCTCTTGCGAGAGTAGCGGCACGCTTGCACTACAGCACCGCAGCAAATCGAATGTCATTGCGGCAGTACGCGCGGTCGATGCCGCGTGGATGCTTTAGCCGCCGCAGCGGATATACCACCGAGTGGCCACAAGAACGGTCTTCGGAATGCCTATGCGCGTTGCTGTTGGAGGCGATCCGTCATCCAACCGCAGCGACCACACACTGCTGAGCCTTGAGCTCTGCGTGCTATGTATTGGACGCAGCTTGGAGTGATGCAACCGTCTGCTGGGGCTTGTGAAAGGTGGTGTTTCCTGCAAACGGGATACTGCTTCGTCAAAACGGACATATTGCAACAAGTGCTGGGAGCAGCAACGGCGTTCGGAATCAACGGAAGCGGCTGAAGAAGCAAGTACAAAGCGGGTATTGATTCGGGTCAGCTCGAATACGTCGGCCTGGATGGCGAACCGCATCTTGCCTCACGTAGCCGCATAGAGCTACGAGCAGTATGGGCCGCCCTCTGCTCTTGGTGATCTCCAGTATATCGCTCCATATGGCGCAGCATTTGATGAGTTGGCTTCGCGAAAGGAAAAGCAGACAGTGAAACTTCGGAGTAAGGATTGAAGCAACGGCAAGGCGAGCGACTTGGCAGCCGAGCCCGTTTAATGGCGGCCCACGAGGGCCATACCAGGCATGAAATTCTCGGATACGTCGTACAAAGACCCCGTCCTTAAAATTCACTACCTTTCTTAAGAAAAAGGAGAGCGAAACAGCCATATAAGAAAGACAAGGCCTGAAGCTGGCTCGCGTAAAGGTTACGCTCTTGACTGGCCGCACTGCCAACGCTTTGTTTGCCTATCTTTTCTCGGAAGCCAGTATGCGGAAAGAGGAGACCAGCGATCTTTTAACATCAAACAAGTCACGGAGATTCAGCTTGCCCGGACATATGTAAATAAATTCCTCTTCTAACCAAAGGCCACTACGCCAAAGGCCACGGTGCCTTGGTACTGGTGCTCATCAGGACGCAACCATATGCTTTACAGACACTGAATCGAATATCATCGCGACCACACAACCCAAATTTGGTCTACTCCATGTGAATATTGCTTACTGCTATCTCTTCATACCAGTTCGCATCCTTTGTTTTAGCTTTTTATCTTGTCACAACAAAAACAATGCCTGTCTCAGCACCGCCTCTGTTCGCTGCTCTGCCGCTCGACACGAATGGTCCAGCCGGTAATGCCTGGTACCTTTACGCAGGCAACGAAGATCTCTGAGCTCTTCATATGTTGCCGCCAAAGGTTGTTGCGGCCGCTCGTATCGTCTCAAATTCTCTCTGGTACGCGTGTTTTCCTGGACTTGCCACTCACAAATCCATACTTGCCGCATTTTGAGCGCGAGGCATTCCAGCGTATACTTGAGAACCGATTACGTGCGACGGTCGAGACTGAGGACCAGCGGGTGGTCGACGATGACGCCGGTATCTTCAACGCGCAGTGTCGCTGCCTTTGGGATGGGATCCGGCAGTATGATGATCTTTCCCAAGAGACGGGATTCATGGCGATACGCAATACAGACTCTCCGCTGACGTACTTCACAGGCTACCTGAAGACTAGTGTTTAACAACACCAAGACGCGGGAGAAATTTATACTCCGATTCTCTGGGCATTGACTGTGAACTCTGTATGTGCGAGAAAGTTTTGGGTAGACAAAAGTACACATTCCTAGAAAATCTGCTAACCTTCATGCTTGTCAAATAGCAAAGATCGCACAAGGTGGGATCATAGGCCGCGGCGTTCTACTCGACAACGCCGGTTATGCCGGACACCGCGGCATCCAGCGTTGACCACATGTCCTGCACCGGAATGCCCGTCGAGCACCTGCAGGACGTTGTGCGCGAGGAAAGGGGTCACATTTGAGCAGGGAGACATTGTCCTGATCCGCATCTGCTGCACGGCTGCTTCCGATGCGGCCATCAGGGATCAGCAAAGGGTGTTGCCGCCGTGCGAGATGGCGGTATTCATGGGACTCTTGCTCGACAATGGCAAAGCTTCGATGGATCTGCGAGACTGTGCGGCACTTACCGGCACCACCATCAGTATTGAGCAGAAACCGTGTGCGCCGACCGCGTCCGGCCTGGCGCGGCATGGAAGGGTGAGAGCTGAGAGGACACGACGAATGGTGATAGGCTGGTGCACCATTGGGTGCTGGCCGGCTGGAGTGTGCCCATTAACGAGATGTTTGATCTCGAGGCTCTGAGAGCACAGCGCGTGGTGCATGACCGCTGGACATTCTTCTTTGCGAGCGTCCCGCTGCGGGTACCCGGCGGCGTCGCAAGCCCAACGAACGGCAGAGTCGTCTTTTAATGGGATATGTGTCCTTGAGTTCCGTGTCCTATGTCTGGTGCAACCTTGGGTATTTGTCTTCGATACAGGTGGTGTAGAGCCACATATCTGTCCATTCTTGCTCACCTCTTCACAACTACTTCCTAGTTCTGTGGGCGTGAAGCATTGCCCTACCTATACCCCTGATGTGAACTCTCCGTCTCTAGTCCTTGATATATCGTCTTTGTTCCATGACCGTTAGTTGAGTGTCTCGTCCACACTGCGTGTCTTGTCACCTGCCGAATTATTGGAAACGTTTACCTCGCTATTTGGTAGTGACCCTCCTCTGCTTTGAATTTCTTTCTGAGAACAGAAAAGCACGATGAAACAAAGACACGCCGACCTTGGTACACTCGCCAAGCGAGTGTACCACCGTTACACCTCGTGGTGGCTTCATCAGACGAATATTTTAGCTTGTGTTCATTTCGTTTCTGCAACGAAAATGCGTCGCGACGTGCATCGAGCCGCAATCCTATCGGGCACACACATCCACTCATGTATGTGCGAACTCGGCATCTGCAAGTCAGAAAGCAAGAAGAAAATAGGGAAGAGGGCTACGGCCGACGCAAGTGGTATTTTCACTCGGTATTGGGCACGGAGAGAAGTCAAAAATAGTAACATGAATGGAATGTGAAAAAAAAGAGCAATTGACCACAAATACTAGACTCGTACCTGCATTGCGTCCGAGTGCCGGGTGGACACAAAACTATTTTCTGGATGGAAAGGAGCCCTCTGTATGCATACAGGATCGTGGCATACATGAGAGGCTGGCTACAGCTGCAGCTTCAACTTGCTGCTGTAGCTTTGATGCAGGCGTCTGGGAAGAAGCAGCGAATAGAAAAGCAGGATTACGACTGGGTCGCGTTGTAAACAACGCAGAAGCCAGATTGACGAAGCAAATTTTGGAATCCGCATCGGCTTCTGCAGCAATTTATGAGAGTGACAAAAACATTCCTATCTCCCGTCAAACGCGAACCGCGACACGAAAAAGCCGCAGTGACTTTGTCCCTTTGGGCTTTTCTGTTTTCTTTTGTTTCATTCCATTTCATCTTTCGCCAAAGGGCCATCGCCTTGCATCAACAAGCCACGTTCGTGACGCATGTATTTTCTATGGTATGAGTGCCCACTTACCCAAGAGTATGAATACTCCGTACAACGTAGCTCGTAAAATGTCGGTGTTATGTCCATCTGATAAGAGTAAAGTTAGAGAGAGCACTTGACGCGCCATGAAATGTAATTTGTAAACTGATGCAGTTGCACATCGACCAACGAAGTTTAAGCAAACCGCCAAAATGTACAGGCATAAGCAGAACTCTTCTGTTACAGCACAACAAATGGAAATGACGAACTCTAAGTCACAGCTTTAGTGGAGGTATTCTTTACGACAGAGTCGGTTTCTGCGGACAACTCCGCGATTCCCGTTGTGCTCCGTACTTGGGCAGTCGTGGCACCACGAAATAGAAATACCAAGCGTCAGAAATCGAATGTCCACGACATTTGATGAAGCGATTGCGAGACCTGTCATCCCTAGACAGCGTGTTACGGATTCCGTCTGTGACTGCCTAATAATTTAGTACGTCTTGGCTTTTGTCTTTTCCTTCAGTTCTTCCTATTCGGCTTTCCCCATCTCGCGTGCTGAATGTGAGAAAGCCTGAAGTTGGTCTTGGCGTCAGGCCCTGGTCCTAGTCGTGTAAGGTATTTGCTTGTCAATGTGCGACCGTTAAGTACTCCGTAATACTTGTCGACAAACCCTGAAGAGACTTCGAGGCTGGTTGTTTTGGATGCGGACTGGGGTTTCCACGCATTGAAATTGGAGGGCACCCTAGTCCCAACTTTTCACTCAGTCCTTCATCCATATTGCACTGTTTTAAAACGCCTGCTACGTGGCGCAGCGCAAACTGCCCCAGAAGATGCTCAAGTTGACCAGACCGGGGACAGACCCTGAGCAATCTTGCGCGGCTTTACGGAGCATCACCCTTGGCTGGATGCCGTCCATGAGCTGCGACGAACGACGTATTCTGTACACATACTCCGTATTCGTCGGATATATCCTGGGCCCCCATGGTGCTTGAACATAGCTTCTGCAAGAGGAAAACTAGTTGCCCCCCATTGGCGTCAAAAAAGAAGCGACGGCCTTGCGAAAGCAACTCAGGCGTGTGCCACATAAACATGTGCTCCGTAGTGTGCATAATGTGAGCATCTTTCACCGAAGCCATGATGTTTACTCTATATCAGCCTGGTAGGTATGTTGTACGACATACGTAGACGCCCAAAAGAGGGATCATAGCGAGCTGTGGGCGATCGTATCTTTTAGGTTCATCCTGGGCAGCCACATGTTTGCTCCTCCATTCTTGGAAATGATTGGCATGTGTCTCCCTTCGTTTGACTTCTAACGTTTCTTCAGGCACGCCGTGGTAAAAGGACCCTGCAGAGACGCAGTAGTGGGACTGGTCTAGCGCTGGTGGTCGAAAAGCGGTCGTCGGTGGATCTTCAACACAAGCATCCTCAAACAAGTGTAGCCGCCCTGAACAAAAGCGAGCTGGAGAGGAGAAGGAGCTGCGCACCAAAGAGTATCGAGATAGCATAAACTCAGTTGACGGAAGACTCGTCCGCCTATTGCCTCTTTCGCAATCCAGTGACCGGTGTTGAGGCATTTCCATGGACGGACGCTCCATGGACGTGCATGATGCCCAAAGGAAAAGAAAATAAACCACAAAAAGTGGATATCAGCGCTCGCTACGAATTATGTGAAGCACTAACGCGAAAAACTTGAGACAAAAAGGACTTCCAAAAGGACGTCGTTCGCCAGTTTTAGTGCCAACGTCCAAGCAGGGTTAAAAGCTAGAAGAAACATGGAAACGACAAAGAAAGGGGGGATGCCTGGATACGAAAAGGTGCGCCAGGGCCGTACTAACATACCAGCCGACCAAGGCAGCCCTGGTTCCTGACGGGGTGGCTATGGCAGTCCAATCTTCACGCTGTTCCCGGTGTCGATCGTCTGCGGGATGTGATCCTATCGTCTGGATTGACTGGTTGTGGGCGAGGCGTCAGATGTGCTGGCGGCTGGAGGGCACACGCAACCGCTCTTGGCTTTTTGCACGGAGCAGAACAGCCAGAGGTGAGCGGGTGGTGCAGGAGTGGGATGGGCAGACGTGTTGCCACTTGGAAAGCCGTTTTCGTCGCTGAATACTGAACGAAGCTCGACATATTGCACATTTTGCCTCTATGCGGTCCGATGGCTAGTTCAACTGGCAAGACCAAGCCAAGGAGTGACTCTCCAACCTCGCGCCTGTTTTCTGCCTGATGGAGCGATTCACCGTTTGAACAATTGCCAATCTAGGAAACAGTATTTCCTAGCGGCCATGGATTCATTGTCTTGCCACATTCTGTGGCTCCAGTCTCTGTCCCTTTGGCTCACTCTCGTCTCTCGTCTTCGTTTGTCTGGTTGCCGCCGCCTGCTCCCTTGACACTAGAAGGAGGACAACCACTTGCAAACCGGCTTAGCCAGCAAAGCGGAACCGTCCTTGCCGCTATGGACCACAGGGGACATCGTCAGATATGCGTGCCGGTCATATTCCGTAGAGTCTTCCATCATGGAGGGCATTGGAGGAAGGAGTTTGTAGTGGAGTCGAGACCGTTTTTTTGTCGTGCCACAGAACAAAAGCCCTCGCCTTCCTCGGTTGGCTCTGTTCGTATGAGCGGAACCGGTTGGGCACAGCCCACTGTCCTTCGAGTTGGTAATGCAGGCGCCCCTGAATAGTGGATGTTTGTTCCTGAATCGCCCAGTCTCAGTGCACATTGTCAACCACATAATGGCGCATTAAGCTCCTCCTGTTCCTGAAGGCGACATGGGGACACTAATGCACCATACTTACCTTAATATTCCATACCGGCGTGTTGGTCTCATAGCCTTGAGGGGTGCAGAAACGACGGCGCTGAAGAAAGACGTTTGTCTCTTTGAGCCCTTCCTATTGGGCTCTGTGCTACACCCCTGGTTGGAGGATGCCCAGGGCAGGGCAGAGGAAATATTACTCTCAGGTTTGCTGGAGTACGTACTCCATCTGTTGTTAGATACTTGTACAATTTACCAAAACGGACGACATGAGGGTAGAGTCACACTGATGGGGCTTGTTTGAAGAAAGCTTGGATCACGACGAACTGGGTCTCTTTCCTTTTTAAGCCAACTGGACCCTCCTCCCTTCCCTTTCCTCAGTCCTCCTTCGCTACTTCCCTTTTCTGCTCACGAAAGTTTACTCTTTCCCAATTTGTTATTTTCTCTTCACCCTCTTTTTATTCGTAAGCGCTCCTGTGCTTCATACATTCGTTGTCATTCCTTCCTTTCAGGTCCATCTTTCCATTCTTTGTTTACTTACCTTCTCCCACTAATTACCTTCTTTCCCCTCACAGCCATCGCATCGCCGCGCACTTTTACAAGTCACTTTGGCCTCACTTGCGAGATTTTTTTAAAGTACTTTATTCCACACGGCTCGTCAGCTATATCTTCATATCTTCTTGCTTTTTACCTTCCTCGGTGCCCTTTTCTTTGGATCCTTCGCCCCGCCCGCCAATATATTCTCTCGAGGCCATTTTCATACGTATGCGGCTTGCGTTCTCGACTCGCTCGATATTAAATTAGTATTCCACGGACATCTAATAAACAACGACAAGTTCTTCGCCGGGAACACCCTCTCGTTTTACCGGGGCAGTCCTCCACACATCCAATTCCCTCCAACATTCCTGGACGCAACCCGATCTTGCTGTTGCTCTCTTATTTCGCTCGCCCCGTTTGGATTGCACGAGGACCCGGACAAATTGAAAAGGCTACCCGTACGGCGGACAGAAACACATTAACGGCACCCCGTCCAACTGAACCCCAGGACCGGTTTATGCTGCCACACAACATTCCGTTTCACTGCGACTGCGCGTCCTACTAGCAGTCTCGTTTCTTCGTGCATACTGCAAACGACACTGTTTTCTCGACACAAATCGTTTGCCCTGCTTGCTCTGCTCTGCCAAGTTGGCAACACTCTATCGGTCTCTTTTAACCGTTTCTGTCTTGTATACGACTTGCATACGTTTTTATATACGCCGTAGGCTTTGTCACGGCCTTCTTTCCTCTTCTTTTTTATCTGTCTTCGTCATTGTCTTTGATACATTCCACGCCTCTGGCCGGTCTCTCCAGTGGCAGCTTGTGTGGGGAGCTTGTATCCTCCACGGCTCGTTTCTCTTCTTGATTCACTTTCTTTCCTCGTCATAACTCTTGTCATTTCATTTTCTTTTGTTTTGTTCTACTCAACATGCGCTCCCAAAATTCCCTGGTCTTTGTGCTGGCTACCCTTATGGGTATTGCCAAGTCTCAGAGCTTTCCTAACGAGGCCAGCCTCCCCGGATGTGGCGTAAGTTTGTTTGTTTCCAGATATTGCGATGCGTCGTCGTCAGTTCTAACGCATTGCAACAGGAAACATGTCTTGATCAGCTTATTGCACAGGCTGGCTCCTTTGGCTGCGCTGCGGACGGAGTCGGTTGTCTCTGCGCAGCTACCAACTTCCAGAATGGTGTCCATGATTGTGTTGTTGGTGCCTGTGCAGCTGACCTCGTGGCCTCGGTTACAAACTATCTCGTTGCCGTTTGCGCAAGTAAGTTAACAGCACCCTGTTGAATCCTACTGCGAGGAATCACAGTATACTAACAAGCTACAGCTGCTGCCGTGAATGCTCCAGCTGCCACTTCGACACCAACCACATCTGCGTCAGCCGTCTCACCAACGTCACAGGCTGTAACATCCTCAATACCGCCCACGACACCAGTGTCGTCCACTCCCGCACCTGTCACCAGCAGCTCAGTGGTGACATCGACTCTGCCTACGACAAGTAGCCTTCCGAGCAGCACGTCCACTCCGGAGCCAAGTACTTCTACACCGGCTTCCAGCACCACACCGAGCTCGTCAAGTGATGCACTTGTCGCTACGACTTCAACCCAGCCGACATCCAGTTCAGTGCGCCAGACCGCCACCAGCTCTACCACTGGTTCTCCTGCGAGCGTAAGTGATACAGTTTTCTATTTTTTGCAATGAAGTGGACTGGGGCTTTCCTGCTGACATCTGAAGCAGACTACATCCAGCACCAGCAGCTCGACTGCCACTGCCTCGCCCGGTCTGACCGTTGGTGCTAAAGCAGGAATCGGCATCGGTGCCGCCGTTGGTGCTGTGGCTGTTATTGCCGCTGTCGTGGTGTGTGTCATTTCCCGGAAACACCGGAGTCGTAACAATGATCGAAGCCCTTCCCGGTCCCACCTCCAGATCTCGGACCCGATGCCTGGCTCGGGCCGCATCTATGCAAATGACGACCGTAGCAATGGTTACGACAACTCTGAGCTGGAGATGAAGTCTCGGCGATACGAAGACATGGTCCCTCGGCACGTACCTAGGAATATGGTTTGAGGGGCGGCTGTTGCACGGCGGATTCCAGCATTTACACACGTCGGCATGACACGGCGAACAGGCTCTTCTTTATTCTCCATGTAGACAACCTAGCATTGGTTACAGATTACGTATTCCGTACTTATTGTCGTACGACACTACCAGGTAGTGCACATTGTCATGATAGATGGAAAGACCGTTGATCGAGAAGCCACTTTGCTTCCCCAACCAACCATACCGAGAGTCGGCCCGGGCACGACACTCGGCACAAGGGATTATTTACTCAATTAGATAGCATTGTTTCAATACCAAATTTTTAAAGCGAAAGCCATAAGAAAACCATTAAGCGGTTGAACAATGACAGACAAGGGTGAAAGACTTCGTGACGTAGCCAGTAACTGGAAGACAAATACAATTATATTTTACAGTGTCTAGTTGCTTTTGCTTAATATGACAGGATATGGACAGGTGAGATTTTCGACGGCAATTCATAAAAGCCCTCGTCATAAATAATGTTCGCTTTGCCTCGAAACTTTTCGCCAATGTCTACCACGAGTAGTAGGGTCTTTGTGCTGTGACAGGACGGTTGGGTAGGTGAACCCAAGGCGCTTTCTTGGCCTCCTTGGCCAAACGCTCGTCATACTGGCGGATGCGCGTCTTCTCCTCCTTGAGGACGACAGAGAGGACTAAAAGGTTGTGTCAGTATAATGTAAATCCTGTCGGGGATAGGAAAGGAGCAGGAAACGCCAAGAAACCTACAGGATGATGGCGACCATCTTGTATTGCGGCGGCCACGGGCGCGGTATTCAGTTACGGCCGAGCGCCAAATACCCTTGCCGACCCAGGCTTGGTCAATATACATCCGCGAGGGGTCGGTGATCTCGAGCCACCGGCCGTCCTTGGTCTCGATCTTGATGGCGTTGGGTGAGGACGCTTCTGCGCCCTCACCATCTGCTTCATTCTGCTTCTGCACACGGCCCAGACCCATACCGCGCTCCACCACGGCCATGTCGCGTGCTTCCTCAAGGTGCCACAGCACCTCCTTGGCCATCTTCTTCTTGCTGAAGCGCATCTGCACCAGCGCATCCTCGAGGGTCTTGCCCGAAATTTGCCGGGCCAGGTGCACCAGTTTCTTTGTGCTCGTTGGGATGGGCATCGACTTGTGCAGCAACTGGCGCTCCGTGCGGGCCAGGCGCTCATCGCGCGTCTCCTGGCCCTTGGGGTCCAGCATGCGTGACACATGACGCACCACCATCTTGCGCTCCCAGCGGACACGGCTGCGCGGGTCCGGGTCGAGGGCGCGCTGCAAGTCAGACTGCAACAGCGATGTACCGATTTCGTTGCGGGCCGCCGAGGTTTTCAAAGGCTTTGAGGCGGTACCGTCCTCCTCGCCCTGCTGTTCTAACTCGCTCGCAAGTAAGGGACTCGCGCTCAGGCCGGGGCTGGTCATGCGGTCCTTGAGCTCCTGGCGGGTTTTAGCCCGACTGAGGTCGCCGGAGAGGCCAGCAGCCACATCGGCAGTGTTGGACGAAGCCGGCTTCTTCTTGCGGCCAAAGAGACCACCCCAGCTAATGGCGCGCGAAGCGGTCGTGTGGAGGGGTCGGCTGGCACCGTTTGACTGTGCGAGAGGTTGCTGTGGTTGTGTGCGTGGCCGCGGCACGAGGGTAGAGTGTGTCGTCGGACCGGCAGTGCATGTTGTCGTCGGCGGCCGGAGACCTATGGGCGCAGTTGCGTTAGAAAAGTTTGGTTCAGGAGTGCAGTTGAGCTTTTTGAAGTGGTAAAACAGCTTACCTGTCGCAAGGACCCTCCTTGAGTGTATGTTGAGCCTCATGGTGGCCGCAAGTGCTGTCGCTGCAGTGTAGCAATCCGGGTCACGATGTTACGCATCAACAAAAAGGCTCTGGATGTGCAGACGGCTTTCCCCGAGTATAGAAAAAACTGCCACCAGCGTAGATTGCGGGCGTCTGGTTGGCTAATGGACTCAATATTTTTGGCGGTTGATTTTATTTCCTTAGTCATCATATGGCCAATGGTTCACGTGATTTTCCGGGTCACCGCGTAATAACCTAGGATGATTCATTTTGCGGGTAGGTTACTTCACTGGCCAGTCGTCGCTTGGGGTCTACTGTTTGGCGGGCGCTGAGTGGAGCAAATCAGCATCAGACCATTTGTCGGAGCTTTCGTGGGATTTTCCCTTCCATTCTCTTTTCGCACCTCTAATCCGTTCAGCCAAACCTCCATCACGACAATACCACCCGCACCGCCCAATCTCCCCTCTACGCACACGCGATCCGATTTGCTGTCCCCTTCGACCGTTTTGCAAACCCAATCGCCGTTCAAAATGGCCATCAAACCGATCACCGGCGTACGTTTGTTCCCATCCAAAGAGGGTTTTTTCGCGAAAACTGCCGAGATAAATGGCGCGGTTCCACGCAGAATGACTCCCGGCAACGACAACCCAGGGCCGTCGGGTGCCAATTGAGGTTGCTCTCTACAGATAGCGACCCTTGTTGCGCTTCATTGGCTACCTGTGGTGAAGTACCAACCTGCCGAGGGCCGGACAATCGGGATGCAGTAATGCGCAAATAAACTAGAGATTGGGAATTGGACCTTGGGCAGGACCCAAAGGGACCTCATGGAACCCCGTACTAACACTTTGCGCCTTGCACATAGATGCTTCGCCGCACGCTGATCACTGATCTCAGCATTGGCCTTGGCCTCGGCTTCGTTATGGGCAATGTCTTCTGGTACGGCTACCACATGCCGCGCACCAACGCCCGCGACAACTACTACGTCAAGCTCGAAGCTGAGCGCGCCGCCCGGACACAACAGTAAACGCACCACATCTACCGTGGAGGACGGACGGACAAGCAACTGGAACGAGCGAATGAACGACGGAGAGGCTTCTGCCGGCCTGTGAGGGGCAATGTCGGGCTGAGGACGCAACCGTTCTCCCCTGTATTGTGTCCCTTTCACCGCTGTCCGGCATGCCGTGTATGTGTACATAAACTGGGTCAATTTTGTGTTTTTTCACCTTGGAACCGATTGCTGGGGTTGTGGTGAAGCGTTGGAGGCGGAAATAGACAAAAAATATCCATAATCAACCAAACTGCTCAGCAAAAGTGTCTGTAATGGTGAAGTGGTGTGATGTAACAATGTCTGCTTTTAATGACCCACGGATGTACTACTCATTCAATGAACGTAACACCGTCAAGCTAAAACACCTTGCCCTACGCTTGCATGCACTATGAGTCTGTTATATTATACATTGCTTTCGCGTCAGATGTCCCATCTTCCTCATCCAAACACGCCTAGTGTCTCTGGTCGTTTTGGTGGCGCTGCTCCGGTCGACACGGCAAAAGAGCTTGACGCTGGCGAACGTCCTGCAGTAGCCTCTGTGGTTGCATCGGTTGTTATGCTTCCCACCGAGCTGCCCACGCTACCGCGTCGACTTGCTTCGGTGCCTTCCCACGCAGTGGTCTCCACAGTGAATGTCCCGTGCCTGTCCTGGCATCTGAAAGTACGTCAGTCATGGGGAAAGAGGCGTTGGAAGCGTATAGAACGGCCACGCAGGCTGCAATGGCCTACCTTCGAAACATCCGTTGCATGGGCCAGCATCGTACTGGGCTGTCACGCATCTCTGGGTGCATCACAGAACAGCTATATTGTACCATAGACGACACTAGCGTGCAGTCACGGACGATGTCGATTCCCTGGTGTCGGCTGCCGCGACCGCTGCCTCCATCCGTACCGTCAGACGCACTATGGACAGCATCGGCACTTGTGCGCTGGGTCGATGCGGAGGAGCCCGGCAGCATCTTGCGCTGACGGCCATGAACGTCGAGCTGGACCCGTTCTGTCAGCTCTGCGGCCGGGAATGTGTAGCAGGGCGGCGTCATAACTGTCGACAGGGTTGTGCGTCTCTCCTGATATATTGTGAGCAGAGCACAACAGACTGATATGAAATTCCTGTCGGCCAATTGTGATACGTTTGTTGCTGTGGTGGTGGGTCGATATACGGACAAGCGTTTTGTGAAGTCGAAAAGCCGCCAAAATAAGCTGTGAGAATAGAGGGGCCAATTCCCACCCCACGCGACTTATCCGCAATCTCAGTAACAAAGTCACCCGTACCCACCTCGCTCTTTCTAAACAACACCTTCAATCATCCGGATCGCTTTACCTGTTCTCACCAATTTGGCAAAGGAAATAAAGGAACCACCATGCCAATCAGCTCATGGCCGCAACGGCTGCACCGTCGCCTGCACTGGTAGGTCGCAGGATACTAGGTGAAGTCGAAGAAACAAGCCTCGAAGATGTGTGTTATCATATTGTGCAGTTGTCCAGAAGAAACGGCAGCCATTAACACCCCTCTGCATAGGTCCTGAAGCGCATCCGCGCGGAGTCGGCCGCAAGGGCGCAACACAGCACCGCGGCTCTCGTGACAGAAACGTCCACAGGGAAAGCAACTCAGCATGACTCTACCTATTTAGGTCGGACAGCGGCGGGGGCGGGCTCACCTGGGAAGAACAGCCCGGCGGCTTCGTTGCGGCTTCTTAGTTTTCCCATTCCGGCCCTCCAGCAGCTCGTCGCCCGTCACTTCCGCTCTTCACGTGCACCCGAGCTTGTCGTCGGAGGTCATCGGCCGCTGGCTCTTGTTTACCTGCTCGTTGCTACGCTGATAGCCGCGCCCCTCCGCCAAACGGTGGTCGTCGTGGATGTCGAGGCGCGCTTTGATGTGCGCCTGCTGCTGGGCGTACAACCGACAGCGTCAGCAATGTACGGCGCTGACGGTGACGAGGGTTCCGTCGACGTGTTAGCTTCGCCCGTCATCGACGACGACCTGCAGCACGTTCATGTGTTTCGGGTCGATCCACGGTGGCGTGTTCCGCTAGCCGAGCTGGTGGCTGCGGCAGAACAGCGCGTGTTGTACGGAGCACAGCGCCGGCGAGACCGGCCATGGTGGGGAACCATTGTCGTGGGCGGGGCTGGAGGTGGAGGAGTGGCAGCCACCGGCGCTTCCAATAGAGCCAGCGACAACGCTCTCAGCCATGGCGTGGGTGCAGCGCTTGTTACGGGTGCCTACGGCTGGCTTCGTGTCGACTGCCATGAACCAGATGCTGTTGAGTCTTACAATGAGCGGCATGAGCGGCTGTTGGCATTCTTTAAAGACGTGGACCTGAACAATACCGAACATGACGATGAGGCACCGAATACACTATTGGAGGATGAATCAGGAACGCATAGGGTTGAGCCCGTCATTTGGGTTGCGCGCTCTCCGTGGGGATGCTTCAGGTTCCAGTTGTCAAAGTCAGCTCGCGGACGAGAAGCCAACGATGATGAGCCGCCCATCTCGGCTGCGACATGATACTTGAATCTCTTGCCTCTTCGAGCTCTTACTTGGGATTTTACGACTTACACACTGTGGATTATGTTGTGAAACATGAGCGTTGCGGTATACATTGTGTAATAAATTACGCATTTACATTTATATTCATGACATCAGCCAGCTTGCAAGTTTTATATTTTATATTTACTTTCATTGACTTCGAGTACAAATTTGAAAATAATATATAAAAGTTTCCAAAAGTCTAAATTCAGCAAACAAGATTATACGTAGTCACATCTAAAAAGGCAGAATGTGTTTCCAACCATGATTTGTATTCCCGTGGATTTCAATTCCTAGGGAGCTGGCCCAAGACTGACTTTCCTGCTTACATACTGTGCGAAAAGTGTTCCATAAGAAGATGTAAAATGTGCCACAAATGAAACATATGACCGCGTACAGAGCTCATAAGATAGATCATTTCTCTCCTGCCTTGATGACTTTCTCGACGCAATCCCTGGCCCTGAACGAGGCATAGTACTTGGCTAGGCTGGGTACACCCAGCCGACGCAACTCGGCTGCGAGTGTCTCCTGGCTACCAGCGGCAAGCTCCATGCTGTACAACACAGGCCACACAGCATAGTCTGCCACGCAAGGCAACGTGCCGCCGGCGATAAACTCGCCAGTCGCGTCTGTTGTCTCGTCCTCCTTTTGGGAGACATAGCTGTCCCAGACTGTCATCTCGCTCTTTAGCGGACTCAAAGAAAAGGCCGAAACAGACTCACCACCCGGAGCTGCCTTGGCCACACTTCTCCACTTGTCTTGGAGTTGCAAAGCCTGTTGCAGCCGCGTGTACTTGCGCGCCGCGTCAAGGTGGAGATGGGCTGATTTGTTCTTATGCGGCGGTCCGTATACCGCATCTACGTAGAGCAGGATGGCCAAGAGGCCCTGGACTGTCGACCTGTCGCGGTCGTTGTCCACCAGCCGGACTGGAATATCCAGGGACGAAACCGTAGTGGTCGGTGATTCGTCCGAACCAGGTGTTGTGGTGGACGGTGTGTCCTTCTTCTCAGCAACCGTGGCCATACTGCCTCTGGCGTAGCTGATATCCAGCTCGGCCAGCAGCAGCTGGACCGTCATGTTAACAACGGGATCGAAACTGGTAAAAAAGCGTGGCGAGCTGCTCATATGCAGCACGTCAAAGCCCTGACCATAGTGTTTGTCCCAGTCAAACTGGGAACTGTGGTTTTCGATACCAAACGCCTGGAGCATACGAATGGCCTCGTCGGACTGCCCGTTGATGACCGGGCGGGCGTCTTTGCGGGTCTTGCCCACGGCGCCTTGACCCCAGACTAGTGTCTGATCGCGGTTTAGGAATGTGCCAATCTGGCGGAACGTCAGGCTGATACGGCCACCATTGTAGGCCAGCTCGGCCGGCGTCTTTTCACGATCGATGCGCTTGTCCTGGCGAATGGCGTGCAGCCATTTCATATTTGTCTGCAAGCCCATGCGGCACAGAGAGTTATGTGGTAGCTGGACGCGGCAATTCTGGCGCTTAGCGGAGTCGGGAGTGGGGGAGGAGGTTGGAGGCTTGCCGCTCGTCGATTTTTCTTCTTTCTCGGAACCACCTTCAGCCTTGCTATCAACAATGCCGGAGCTCGACGGTTCTGCCTTAAGGGAGGGGTCCTTATCCACTCGCTTTGTGCGGAAGATCATCGTGCGCTCGGCACCGAGGCTCATGTTGCAGACATACGAGTTGGGAACAATGTCCAGCGTCTTGTCGCTATGCTCAGAGATGTAGTCGTTCCCGGTGCGGTACAGCTGGATCAAGACATGATTCAGTGGATGCCCCACAATCTTTTCGACCTCGCCCTTGATCTGGAGCACCGTTGGCGTGAAAGCATCCAGTGGCGGAGACTCGTCGGCTGGGTGGCGGTAGATTGGGAAGCTGCCATCCTCGTCGACCTGTCCCTGCACACAAACCAAGCGTGGAACTTCACCGCCTTGGTGCGACATACGTAGCCACTGTACCTCGTCCTTCAGACGCTCATAGATGCCCTCTTCCAGTGACTGGGAAAGGACATCGTGGTAGATGATCGTGTCACCAGCACATATGGGCTCCGTTGCAGATGGCTCTTTTGTCGCATCGACCGGCACTAGCTTAGCATCGGTATCGTCCAAGTCGGACTCAGTTTGTGCAGGTTTGTCTGACTTGGAGCCGCTCGTGGCGTTTGTTTTGATGGTCTTGCCCGGTGTCTTTGTCGACTCCAAGTCGTTGGACCTGGCAGGGTCTGTAACCGACGATGGCATTACCTTGGCAGGAGAAGACGCCTCAAGACGTGCTGCGGGACGCCCCGCGTTCGTCCCCGCCCCGGCGTCAGAGGAGGCATTGGTGGCCATTGTATTTGATGCTCCAGGTGTGGGATTGCGGGGGCGAGTTTCGGTGGCACGACTAGATGACGTTGCAGGAGACTTTCTGACTCGTGGTTGTTCAGGTCGAGAGCGCTGGGCAGAGGCAGCAGAGGGACCGTCTTTTGTTCCCTCTTCAAGTCGCTTTTGCAAGGCATTTGCGCTTCGCGTCGATCGCAACCGAGAATATTCTAGAAGTCTCTCGTGCCGTGAAGGAATCGCCAGTTTAAATGAGTCATCCGCGTCGTTATCGTCGCCAGTGTCTTCGTCTGGGGTAATTTCGCCAAGGTCGATTGCGAGTGGTTCGATGGCAGCGATGGTTGTCTGCCTTGTGCTAAGCAACTTAGTTTCCGCAGCAGGTGCAGGGGGTGTGCTGGAAGAACCAATGACAGCACCTGCGACCGTCGCGGAGCCAGTACGAGCTGAAGTGTTTGCATCAGTCGTATTCGTCGCATGTTTTCTTTGTGGTGCTGTTTTCAATGGTTTCGGTAACACCGCAGTCTTCACTACCACGGGCTGTACCGGTGGCGGCGTCTTCGGCTCGTTTTGGGAGACTGCTTTAGCTGCGGGAGACAAACGACTTAGTGTCGAAATCTCATGGGGAGAGGGTGCGGACGGGGTACGGGCGTCGGGCTCATCTTGACTGGGCCCTGGATTTTGACTCTTTGTACGTACGGGTAGACCGCCGCTGTTCCCACCACCAACACCCACGGCGGCACCGCCGAAGCCACTTCCGCCGACGGCTATGGGCCCGGACGACGACTGTTTGGCTGACCCCCGCGCCCGGGGTGGTCCATTGCTGGACGCTGTAATGGCGGCGATGGCTGCGGCAAAATCGGTAACCACTGGCTTCGCATCGGAGGACGGGGCCGCGAACGTCTGGAGGACTTCTTCAGCTGCCAATGTGTCACATCCAGCGAGCTGCACCAAGCTCCTAATGGCGTCGCTGTGGCGGGTGACATCGCGGTAGCCGCAGCAATCTTCGATAATGGTGAGGGTGAGGCCGTGGCGTGCGGCATCCAGAGCCGTGGCGTAAATGCTGATGTTGGTGAGGGCGCCGCAGATGTACAGCTCGGTGACAAAACGCGTGCGAAGGCGCATGAGAAGCTGGGTAGACTCAAAGGCTGAGTAGTGTGACTTGGCAATGACGAGATCCAGGCGGGCGTTCACGGAAGAAGCTACTTGGGGTGCGAGTTCGCTGCCGTGGCTGCCGGGAAGAAGACATTGGCTGCGCTGTTGGTGCTGTCTTTGCTTGTCCTGGGGCGTTGGGCCGCCCGTGCTTAAGAAAGCCTCGGGGTCGGCGTCCGGGTCTCCGACCAGTGGCTCGGGCTCACGCCGGCGGCCTCGTGACGTGCTCTGCTTGGGACCGGCTGTGCTAGAGTTGGCCAATGTGATTATCTGTGCATTTTCGGTTGGACGGTGGGAATCGAACTGGCTGCGAATCCAAAAGACGTCACCGGCTCCAGAGTCGCGAAACGCTTTGGCGACTTTGAGGGCCCGTTCCACGTACCCGACTGGTGTTGACACAGGTAGCGTGCCGCCGGGCGACAGGAATTCATTTTGCAAGTCGAGAACCAAGAGAGCCTTCCTCGTCTGAAAAGCCGGGAAGTTGGCGAGGTCGATGGGTAATGTGGGAGGCATGGAGAAGAGAAAGTGCAGTAGGCGAATAGGCGTAGTCTATTCGTGGGAATATAAAAGAGAAAAACAAGCCCTGGTACAAGATATACAGGAGAACTACGAGATGCACAAGACTTGCACAAAGTCGATAATGTTCACGGCCTCAAGGGGAGGGGAAAGTGTTGCCCGTCGATGGAAGTTGCAGAGATATAAACCGGATGCGCGAAGTTGAGATGCGGTAAGGAAACAAGTATGACGGGAAATGTTGACCATGAGAATTGGAGATGCTCCGTGGAAAGCCGGACCGGTGGAATATGACAGGCAGAGAGGGAAATGAAGAGAGACACAGGAGGTGCGGGCCGGTCAATGCAGCCGGCCGAAGACTCGAAATTGTGTGTAACATGCACTAGGCGGACGTTTTCGACGAGACGAGAGAGGAGAGAGGCGAGGAGAGGCGAGGACAGGCGAGGAGAGGCGAGGACAGGCGAGGAGAGGCGAGGACAGGCGAGGAGAGGCTTGGGGGTCCGCCGATGTGGTGACACTACATGCTTGTGCAGCTCCGAGATTGAATGTTGAAGAATGAGGATTGACGGCGGCGAGAAATGAAGGCTCCGTTGTGATGAATGCAGAAGCAGGCGCACAGCCAGTTGGGCCAGTGAGAGAGTGTTTTAAAAGTGTCCGAGGATCTGTTTTGAGATGTGGGAAGGGCGGGTCGACAACCGATGTCAAGAGGCACTTGAAAACGAAAATGCCTATGCCAGCCGGGAGGGATGGGAGGACTGCAACGGCAACAGTTGTTCGCTGTGTTCGCGTGTGTACTTCGAGCTTGCCTGCCGGGCTGGCTGTCCCTCCAGTCATCCAAAGAGGTTCAAAGAAAACTGTCAACCATAGGTGGAAAGGGGAAGGAGGTATGCTGGTACCAGAAACGGACCGTCACAAAAAAAGGAACACGGCACAGCACACAAAAACACAAAACACAAAATACAGACATACGACAAAATAGACTCAGCTCTAGTTTGCTGCGTCGTGTTGGCAGTGCTTGTTCTGCCCCTCTCTTAGAACACCCATTCGGGGTGGCCAATGCCAATGCCAGCGCCAAGCGGGTGTGATCGACGACGCGGGCAATAAACGAGGCGGTTGGATTCGAAGTGGAGCCCAGCCCTTGTTTCTGCTTTTTCTCTTTTGATTTTATTTGTGCAGGTGCAGGATGACTTTCATGTCAAATGCGCTGAATAAAAAAATATAAAAAATAAGAAAACATAATAAAAATAATAAAACAACACGTCTGTGAGATAATAATGCCACTGCTCTCATCACCTCAAAAACAAAAGTAATAAAAACGGTTTGCAGGGAAGGTTTTACCTACTCAGAAGAAAGAAATAGATCAGACGGTGTCGAGAACCTCTGGACACCATTTTCTCGTGCGGCATGTCGGTGACCAGAAATGACCCGCCTTTCCGTCGACTTGCTGAAAATCACACCCTTCAATATGTTGTATGGAAAGCCTGCTTGATGTCCACGTCTTTATGCCTCACACCTTCCGAATCCCCCATCCTGTGTAAAATATGATAACAGCGCAGAAATCCTCCAGGCCGGGGGGGTTGTGTTCGTCACGCAGAGTTGGACTCTTCTGTCACCTTGCCAAACGTCGTAGGGCACGCACCTCTAACCTAGGCCAATCCCAGACGGGGTATGTCATTCTGGGTGCACTTCGACCCCTTCAGTCCGTTTTTTATTTTGCATTGGCGTCGATCGAAACATCGAAGCAAACTGTCGGAGAAGCATGAAAAGAGCCGGACAACGTCGGCAACTGCACAGAGTACAACAATAGGCAAATGGAAATATCAGATGCATCTCACCTTGCAGGTCTGGGCTTTGGGCTTTTCGTCGTTCTTTGCTCGTCTCCTTGTTGAGACGCCTAAAAATCAGTGCATCGTGCGTCTACGTTCGCGAGATCTGAGATCGGTTTGTCTGTTCCAGCACGTGTCTGCGTTTCGACATTCCATATACCATTTCCTTGATAAATCTTGACGCAGAAATACGACGAGGACCCCTATATGGTGTAGGTCGTCGTCAACGCATGTAAAAAATATGCAAAATGGGCGGAGACGCCTGTCATGTGTGCCTAATTGCACGAAAGGAACGCATATTGCAGACGTGCCGTCTCCCTTTGCGTTGGCTTCTTCTTTTTTTTTTTTTTTTTGCAACTGCGATCCTTCCATCCATGAATTCCGTCCTCTTTTGACTGGCCTCTTCATTCCTGTTCTTCGAGGGACTGGCTGGCTGTGTTACTCTACCGCGAAACTGCTAGCTGCGACCACGCGACGTGTAACCCTAGAAAATACCTTTCAGCTTCCGGGGTCATGATGCCCCGCTCTTTCTCTCCCTCAACGGTGACAGTCTCCACTTTTGATCCTTGCCCCGCGACAGTTATCCACCCAGCCATCCCACCATCCTTATTGAATGTTGTGAGGAGCTGTTTTCGTTCAGCTTGTGGACGACGGCTTCCTTTCTTTAGGGGCCCTTGGCAGGCCTTTTGTTCTATGGACTTGTGCCACGAGGGAGCATTAGCACATTGACACTGCACTTACACGCTGACCGGCTGATAGATGTGTGGCATAGCCTGAGAAAAAAAAGAGGATAGCAGAAAGATGTTTGGACTAACTGGACATAATTTTAGGGCTTCTTTTGTTGTTCTTTAGCTTTGCATCTGTTGGCGGCGAGGATGCAGAAGCAGCTGGGCTGAGTATGGACAAAGAAAGGTAAAGCGGCTGTTAGCTGTGTTGTTGGTTCCGGAAGGATACTTTCGACGACATATCACCAAAGAGACACGAGATGCATGACGAGGCCGTTTTGAAGTGACTGGAGGGGTGGAATATTGTGAGTCGAGGATGGAAGAATACCGGCATAGACTTGAAAAGTAGACAGGGGACTTCATTGTGACCTTCTCAGAGGGCATGATCCATTCTGCTGATGACACGAATATTCTCTTTAATACCACTCAACCAAGAAGCAAAGGACGCAACACCTTCCGAGAAAGAGACCGACAACGGGTGGGCAACTTGGAAGTACGAGATGGACATGATGGTAGGAAGCAAGCTCCCTGTATAAACGTGAGATTTTTTTCAGAAACAAAAAATGCCCGTGAAAGATTGTGTATGCAGATCGGGACGTGGTGGCACATAGATTGACTTGGGCACGGACAATGAGCCGTTGCAGTACTGATACCTTAGTTTAACGGAACTTTTTGTCTCCTGCAATAAAGATTGTCGCCCTTTGCAAACAGCAGGTAATACTTATTTATGATGCGATAGCAGGAGACGTGATAGAATGCCAAACTAGACTTATTGAAGGGTGTTGGAGCCTAGAAAGTCTGGCCAGTCATTTCCGAGATTATTCAGGTGTGTAATTTTTGAATACCTTCCACAAACGGTATTAGTCTCAATACGGTACGGAGAATGCCCTGTCTTAAACTCGTACAAAGTATGTGACGCTCGTGACAGAGGCCGGCCTGGTTGTATTTCTACTCTCTGCGACCATGGAAGGATTGACTTCCCTACCTCGGTGAAATGGGCAAAAGAAAAACCCAGGCCACTGTCGGCACTCGTGCCTTCGAATCCTACTGTGGTAGATACGTTCATCAAAGAGCATTTACAGCTCACGCGCATTTTTTACTCTGTACCGCGTCAGCTCCAGACACATGGCTTTCTAAGATGACTGTCGGCCGGGAGGCCTGGCGAGAGACCCGCCTCTTCTGTGACAAGTTACGTATATCACCTGCAAGAGGTCGGTTAACACAACTGTAAATTTCTACCCCAGGCGTCTATTGTGCGTCCTAGAATTTTATCTAATCCGTACTTGCAAGGCCTCCCTATTTCCGACCTCCACTATATGGTTTCGATATGAAGCATATGCTTCTTCTAATTCTCTCTGTCTGAAATCGCTGAAATTAGCCGGCGAGTATAGAAGGGCAAAAACGTAGTTTTGTAAGACCCAGCCGGGACGTAAAGTCGTATGATACTGTAATAACTGTACGCCTTGACTCGTTTGTTGTTTTTCCTCGTCTTTGTTGGCCATTCCCTGCTATGCCCCTGTCTGGACAGCGGCAAGCTCCTCGACAAGTGTCGAAAAGACGGGCCGGTCTGCAACGGCCGGGACAACGCACTGTGCGTGCAGTCGGAGGAGCCCGTGCCGCACTGACGACGAACCGTCTTCACTCATCAGGCCCAGTACATCCTCGACAAGGTGTGCAAACGCCAGCACCTCGAGTTTCTCCAGGCTGGCAAGGTCATTGGCTTCGCTCTCACCCTGGCTACTGCCACTTCCATAGAGCGTCGCGGCGCCAAAATCGCTGAGGATGGCATGAGTAGTGTCCTTGTCTTCCTTGCCATTGCCAGAGCCGCCCCGCGCCACCAGGATGTTGTGTGCGTACAGGTCACCATGTGCGATGCCGCGAGCGTGCAAGTGCGCCACCGCAGACGCCACGCCCGAAAGAATGGCCAGGGCAGCTGACACGGGTAGCTGCTTGCTGCCGGTTGCGTCATCACTGTCGAAGCAGTCCCGCGTGCACGAGTCAAACGATGGTGGCTGGCCCAACACGCGGTATTGTGGCGGAATGAGCTCCATGATGAGACCGCCACGGAATGCTGGCGGCGCACTACTAGTGCTTGCTCCCTCGTTTGCCGCTTCGTCCGCGTCCTCGACCCAACGGATCTGCCCGTGTACCTGCACCAAGTTGACGTGCTGGCCAGCCGCCAGACACGCGGCCATCTCGTCGTAGGGAGTGCCGTCGCTCGTGAGCGCACCGCGGAAGATCTTGACAGCAACTGGGGTCGAAGGCGACAGCGGCAGAGAGTGTCGCGTGGAGGTCGGAGTGGACGTTGAAGACACAGCAGACACAGCCGACAGAGCCGAAAGAGACGAAGACGTTGAGAAGACAGAAGCTCCCGAGACCGACAGGGCAGGCGTTGACGTTCCAGACAACGACGGAGTGTTGAAGCCAGATGGCCCCCGGCTGTTTAGTGTGCTGCTGGGCCCACGGCTGTAGTTACCGCTGGCGTTGCCTTCATTACTCCGAATGGTACCCTTGGAGATAATGCCGCTCGCACCCTCACCCAAAACATGGTGGATTTCGATCTGGTTCCAGTCCACGTGAGGAAGGGAAGACGCCGTCGACGAAGAGCGCGCCGCGGCAGCATTGGTCTTCGTCGGTGAGCTGGCTGAGCACGGATTACCCGCGAACGACAAGAACGCCAGCCTGGGCATTGTGAGGAGCCACATTGGCAGCGCTGTCAGCTTGTTGGCGGCCAGTCGGAGCAATGTGAGGTTGCGGCAGTTGGCCATGGCGTCGGGCAGGCCTGTCAGACAGTTGCCTGCCAGCATGCACTTTTCTAGGCGTGCACAACGGCCAATGCTGGATGGGATGTGCGTTAAGCTGTTGTCGGTCAAGATGAGCCACCGCAGTTGGGGCGGCAGGGCCACATCGTCCAGGGCATCGCCCTCAAAGCCTTCCATGTCGTTCTTGCGGAAGGCGACCATCTCGAGGCGCGGGCAACCAGCCAATGCGCTTGGGAAACGTTTGAACTTGCAGCCGCTGAAAAAAGCGATGCGCAGGCGTGGTAGGCGTGCGCCCAGGTCGTCGGGGAGCGCCGACAGGCCCGTTCCAGAGAGGTCTAGGATCTCAAGCGTGGCAGCAAGGCTGGCGTCGAAGATCTCAGGTGGAAACGAATCGAGTGGCTCCGTGAGCTTTAGCTTGGTGAGGCCAGCGTCACAGTAGCCCCCGGCCCGGAGGGTCGCAAGGTTGTGCATGGTCAGCGAGGGCCGGTGAACGGCGGTGGGTGCCAGAGGAGGGCGAGAGAGAGGCAGAGAGAGGCTTCGTCGGGAATGTGAGTGAATTGAAATCTATGCAGTACGACGACGGTGATGCGAGGAAAAGAGCAGAAAAGAACGTAAAAAGACGAGACGCAAGATGTCAGCTTCGAGAGCCGGGGGGGAGAACTGACGCCATATCGATGCGGTGAGAAAGGAAGACCGACAGGACCTCCTTCTCATTATCTCACGCCTTCATTCTTCGTGTTTTCATTTTTTTATCGCCGCCTCGCAGGGATACAACCATCGGCACCCACAAGGATAAGCTGGCGGACCCACGTGGGCCCCGGCAGTGTAGCCGTCTCACTAATAAAAGCCCAGGGCAAGAGGCTGTACATTGGATGTACATTAAACAAAAATACGAGATCTTCGCCAAATCAATGCCCTCGAGTGTGCAAGACCAATGTATTTCAATACGAAGAATCACGGGTAGCACCTCAGCTTTTGTTCCTGGATTACCTAGACGAATCGGTTAGAGCCATTACAACGCTACACCACTAAGTGGTCTTCAATCGACTCCTCCCTTCCTTTGCAGCCAGTAACACCAATACCAACACGGTAGTTGGCCGCGAGTCTTGGCATAGATGACTGTCGACTATTGCAGATTGTTTGCGATTCGAAACCTATTAATATGTTTTGGTATTTCCATGGTAATTTTGTGGCCACTACATTTAGATCAACAAACTATCTGTGTATATTTTAAATAGTAACTTTTTTCATATGCTCATCGAGGGACTGGATAATCTCCTCGCCTTATGGGGTAAAGGGTATGAATTGAAGAGATTCCCCTGGCAGCCTTTTCAATCCTCGTCTTCGACGTCGCCCTCTAGCCAGATTTCGTGTCCATCACCCTCGCGGACAAACATGCTGGCTATGAGGCCAATGATTGCCACCGAGCTCAAACCCCAAAACACCGCTCCAACTAAGCCATGATTCAAGCCGAGGCCGTAAAGATAACCGCTTAATATAGGGCCGACTGTACGTGCTAGAGAGCTTGTGCTCTGTGCGAGGCCATGAAGACTTCCGAGGACGGAAGGGTGAGGGGTGCAGTTGTTAACTAGTATCGTCTGTGCCGGCAATGCAAAGGTACGGCCCGTGACATGGCATAGAAGCACCAGTGCAATTGCAAACCAGATTGCCGCACCGTCCTTGGCATGCGGTGGTGCTGACAGGCTCGGCACGAGACTGAGGAACGGAACAATAAAGTATGTAACTGGAAAACAGCACAAGAAGATGCGCCACGACCTCACGACACCGAGGCGAGCGGACACGGAGGGATACAGCAAGAGCTGCATGGTAATACCGAAGCACCCTAGAATAGCCATGGCCATGCCTACTTCGCGGGGAGGCAAGCCTATGCCACCTGTGAACACAAATGGCAGATTTTGCGTGAGGTAATGAGCAGCTTTGGCCGCCGGTGACTTTGGAGCCGGTGCCTGAGTGGGATCATACACGGGCGTCGACAAAAACACGAACCACAGCGAATTGAACGAACCCATGTGGAAAGCAAAGATGGACTGTGCCAGTAGCGTCAGAATCACATTCTTTGTGAATATCCGGCGGAACGGCAGTCGTTGCGAGTAGCGTGTCCTTGGCCGCTTCGATTTCTGTGATGACTTGGCGGTAGCTGATGTAGAAGCCTCCTCCTCAGTCGATACAACTGGCGTAACAGGATCCATTTCGAAACTGACGGTGCTAGCATCACTGACGTTGCGGGAGTGGGTTGCGAGGGGTGTGTACGCGATCGAATCGGGTGAGCGACGGAATAGCAAGACAATCTTGCGCCGCAGCTCAATGCCGAGGTCGCGTGTGCCTCGTCTCGAATCAAGTGTTTCTTCTAGCCCCAGCCAGACGCCCAAAAGCGCCGAGAATAGAATAACCGCACTGAGGAGATTGGGCGCCGCATACGGGAAGCGGAGGAAGAATGCATTATCGCCAAACTGATTTGGATAACTATGAGCGGGATCGGACAGGACGCCACCCAATATGGGACCGATGATGACACCGATGTTGAACGTCATGGGTAGAATTAGAAAAGCACGGGATTGGTACCTGCAAGGTCAGTGAATAAATCCAAATCTGCGTTGATAAATCTCGACGAATAGGTGGTACGCACTTCTTCTCACGAATTATCTCGCTGATCCTATATTTACCAACAAATGTTAGCGAGGCTCGTGGGAGCATCATGTAGACAAGAGAAAACACAAGGCATACATTGTGCGGAGGACTCCAACGTTTCCGTTGGTGGCGCCCCCTAACGACCGAAAGAAAAGTGCTTGCCAGAAGCTCTGTGAGAAGCCAAAGCCAAGACAGGAGAGCACTGGGTAAATGTGTTAGCCAAAGGGCTCTCAAAGAGTTGATTGAAAAGAGACGAAGACAATACGCACTGGTCCCTGCTAAGCCAATCATTAACACCTTCTTGCGGCCGAACAGATGCGAGTCGGCCAGCCGGCCCCAAACCATGGCTGTTAAGAATTGGGCGGCCGTAAAGCTGGCATGAAGAATTCCAGATTGGCTCGCAATGACCGAAGGAGGCAAATCAGGCCGGAACGATTGGAGCTGGTAGAACATGTAGGACTGAATATGTTAGGGTTTGTGGATCTGATGAGGGTTCTACCACGGACGGAGTCGTATCTACCTGAAGAGATGTTTGCACAAGAGGTTCGCTCAACCGTGCGAAGGTGAGGACGGTCAACTGGCCCTTCTCGGGCAAGTCCCGCCACCGGACGGTCTCCTGCTTTGTGGGCTTCTCGTTTTTAGGCTTTCTTTTGACTGTCCTGCCCCTATTTCTGACTGGTGTACATTTCCCACTGCCATTATCGTCGTCCGTATCGGACGCCGATGTTGGCGAACGAGGGCCTCCGGTTGCCTGGAGCAGCCTTGGATTCGCGTTACTGTCGCCAGCATCATAGTTGCCATCACCATTTTCTAAGTCGACGTTGTGGTGATCGACCTGCAGCCTGTCATCGTCGCTGTCCGTATCGGAGCTGACGTCTTTGCCTTTGTCGTCCCGCACCGGTGCCGGTGTCGGTGCCGGAGTCGGGGCGGTCGTCAGAACTCCGTCGGCAACGGCATTCCCATTGCGGCTCGTATGCTGGCCATCGTAGCGAGCGTCGATACCCTTCATTTACCCGTGCACAAATGGAAACTGCCTCGTTGGAGAGACGAAACAGTGGAACAGAGAGGGGGGTTTATCTCAGTACAGCCGGCCGGGTAAAGAGGCGTCCGTACTAAATATTGCGGTGCGTAAGTAATACAACCCGTGTGTTGGCGGTATTAATATTTGCTCAAGCTGGGCGGCCAAAAAGGTTAACCGGGTACCTGGGCTAGTATTACGCCAAGGTTATCGAGGCGACCGAGTATATGGTACCTATGGAATGTGTCTGAATATCATATATGGCTTGGGATGATGTTTAAGGGAGCAAGTCAAACGACAACGAGGGGGAAAAAAAAGAGGCTGGCGGCGTATGACAAGACGTACGAAACAAAAGATGGGATAAAATATTGGGAGAAGAAAAAACGAGAAAGAGATCTTCGAAGGCCAAAAGATTGGCTGGAGAGATCCAAAACACGACTGGGGAGGCATGAGCGATTCGGCTCCGACGGCAACGTAGCGGCATGCCGACAGTGATGAAGGCGAAAATGGTGGGAGAAAAAAAAGTGTGTCAAAAAGAATGGGGACCACAGCTGCCGGTGCAAGTGTCAGGCCCTGTCCTATGACCGAAGTACACAGAACGTCGAGCATCTCTGACGCAGAACTCGGCCCTGGCCCAAACAGAAGCATTTATTTTGCAATTGCCCACCTCTAACGCCAACGCCAACAATAAACGGCCGAATGTTTCAAAGGTCGAACAGAGTAACAGAGCTGTCGAGAAAGCCTAAGCGCTGTGAGACATTGTGTTTGGTAGGGTGTCATCACGTCCCTCACTTTTTCTGTGGAGTCCATGGAACCCCACGCCACCCATGCACTCGAGTCGTGTGTCAAGGCCTCAATGGCAAGTGATCGGGGCCGAGAACTTCTTTATTTATGTACCCTTTTTCTTTGGTGTGCTGATAGAGCGACGTTCCCACCACATGTAAATTTTGGACACGGCGCACCTTCCTTGTTCATCGCTCGTCCTCTTTTGCTACTCTTCTTTTTGGTCGCGAGCCTTATTGCGGTTTTTGTGGCTTTTGTTTCTTTGCTGTTCCCCAATGTGACGATTCAGTGACTGAAATTCTGAGAATTGACCTCCACCTCGGAAATCATGCGTGCAGTGCATCGCAAGAAACAGAGCGGGGTGCGCTTGCCGTGTGCCGATTTATGAGTGGACTGGAACACAAGGGTAAGAGGCGGGAATGTGCTATCGGCATTCTGCCATGCACCACGATAAACGAAGAAAATTAGTGTACCTCACTTTCCGTCCCAGAAGGAAACGTCCTGTACGAAGTATTGCAAGAAAGAATGGAATATCCTCAGTTGCTGGAAAGCATGAACATCCTCAGTTGCTGGATAATGAGGTGCCTTTTAATCTAACGACAACAGAGGGAGGTTACAAAGACAGTATCCAAGCCCTTTTACTCCGTCTCTTCAATCTTTTCAAAATCTTCTTCCTCTAACCTCTGTTACTAGTTCGGCTTCGCTGTGCGTGCGCCCAATCCACGTTCCTTCTGCCGCTTCGTGCGCCACTGGTAGTACTCGCCCGCCGTTGTGACCGGGTACTTGTGCGGGTTCGAGTCGCTGACACACGATGGGATGGGTGTCATGACCGTGGCACGATTGAATCCGAAGAAAAATGGGCACGAGTAGCGTGCCTTGCGGCCTGTGTTGATGACACGGTGCACTGTGCTCACAAAGGTGTCGTTGGTCTGGCGCATGAAGCAGTCGGCAATGTTGACGACGAACGAGTCCGCCACCGGCCGCACCTTGACCCACTGTCCGTCCTTGCGCAACACCTCCAGGCCGTCACAGTCCTGCGTGATCATAGTGAAGTGCTCGACGTCCGTATGAGCGCCGATGCCATTTTGGTCGTCGCGGGGCGCCTGCTGGATGGGATAGTGTAGGATGCGCATCGATGCCTCGGGCGTCCTGACATAATCATCAAATGCCGTCTCGGGCAGCTGCAATGCCAAGGCAAACATGCGCGTCATGTGACGAGCGAGTCCGACCAAGGCCGCTTGATACGTTGAGAGTGTCTTTCGAAATTCAGGCAAGTCCCCCGGCCAGAGATTGGAAACGGGTGGCGGCTTCGAGCCGTCTTCGGTTGCACTGGTATCCTCCTCAAAATTCCAGTTATACGCCTCATACAGATCTGAGATGGATTAGCAGCTGCTTTGCAAAGTACTTTCAAGAGCGTGACCTTTTTCACCTTGGAGACAGACTGCCCTTACCCTGATACTTTTTGTCGTTGGCATTATACTCATGCATTGGGTGATAGCCAATGTATTCATTGGGCATAAGGCCTGTGTACACTTGCATCTTCTTTTCTCTCTCCTGACCGAAGAACTCCCTGGCCTGCTTGAAAACCGCTTTGGCAAGTGCCATGTCGACCCCCTTTGTGATGTATTAGTGAGAACAAGAGCAGAGAAAAGAAACAAGGTGAGGGAAACAAAGACGTGCAACGACGATACGTTTAGGAATCGAGACAAAACATACGTGGTTCACAATGGTCAAGAAGCCCACATTGCGCGCCGCATGGCCAATTTCTTCCGCAAGAGCTTGTCGTTCAGAGAGGTCTGAGCTGTACATGCGGGAGATATCGACCACTGGCACGTAGTCGGCTTCGATGGCGTCGTTTGAGATAAACTCGACCACCTTGCCATTTACCAGCTCAAGTGAGCGAAGCTTTGTGGCTGGGGTCGGGACTGTTGAGGTTGTGGCTGTAGTTGTTGTGGCTGTAACCATGACTGCCCTTTTTCCTTTCCGAGATGAAACGGAAAGCCAAATTTGCTGAACCGGTTACCCAAAACCACGATAGGAAGCATGTCTTTGAATTATATACCTAATAACTGGTTTGGTATTTCGCTGTGACGCCTTACATCTGGCGGTCCCTGAGGATGTTTGTCCATCGTCGGCGGTTGAATTCGAATCAATTTACCAGGCTCGAGAAGTGCAGGATGCACCAAGACTTACAACTCCGCACAAGATTGGCCACGCCCCAAAGGGCACAAAATCTCTTACGGCAACCAAATCAATTGGACAATTCTACCGCCTTATCGGAAGAAGATACTGTCAGCCTTGCGAATTTGACTTGGTCTTATTCACTATAGGTGGGTGAATTTGTAAAGTCCAATTTGTGTTTTCGACTTTTTTCATCGTAATTTTGCCGCTGATAAGGAATTGTTCGTTCGCAAGGTCGGATCAACCACCGAGTTGATGTTCTTTATCTTGGTGGTTGGGCTTGTTACCTAACAACAAGCGTCATGGCGCCAGGTCCCTTTATCAGGAACGCTTGGTTTGGCGCACTCTCAAACTGGTGTTATCTGATTCGCCAGAAGCGGCTAAACAGCATGAATCCGGTCATTGTTCTTGACGACGCCCGGCATCCGCCACGACTCACAGGCTCTAGCCCACCGATAGGAGTCCCAAGACTGGAGAAGAAGAACCGGGGAGACACAACTGCTTGGACTGGGCATATTATTTCTCGGCATCTGAGCTGCAGGCGCGCACGTCATTTTATAAAAGCTGCAGGGCATCCAACCAGTTGCCCACGCCGATCAGCATTTCGCAAAACATTTGTCAAGGCAATTCTTCTCGACACCTCACGCGTCAGATTAGGACACGACCGCAGCCATGGACTTCTTGAAGCGACTTCAAGTCGACGTCCGAGAGGACGGCCAAGCCGGCCTGTCCAATGAAGACACTAAGCCACTACCACCGAATCGGAGAACATATGGCCCTTGGTCGTTTGTTATTCTGTGGGTCATAACGGGTTCGCTTTTTCTGATCGTCATTTTTGTTGTTATTGTTGTAACGTTTTCATGGAAACCATTTGTTATACCATTTGTCTAACATCAACAGGCTCGTTTAATATTGGCGGCTGGACCACGGGGTCCTCTCTCATTGCCTATGGCCTTAATGTGTGGCAGTGCATGATCACCGTGATCGTAGGCAACCTCATCGTTGGTATCATGTGTGTTCTCAGCGGCGCGCCTGGCGCAAAGTGGCACATTGGATTTCCGATCATCCAACGCTCCGCCTGGGGCACTCGTGGTTTTGTTTTCGTCATTATTCAGCGCTTCTTCCTGTCTTGCATCTGGTACTCGACACAGGTCTACTGGGGCGCCGAGTGCCTCAAGACATTTTTGACCGCGCTGTGGCCGTCGTACCAGTCGCTCAACAAGTCCTTAGCCGGTGGCACAATGACGACGGGCGACTTTCTTGCCTTTGTCCTCTTCACCATCTTCTACTTGCCGCTCGTCTTCATCAAGCCCGAGCACTACCGCATCCCCTTTCTCGTCTGCTGCGCCGCCATCATCCCGACTGTGCTCGCCCTGCTCATTTGGTTCGTCTCGGCGGCCCACGGCGGTGGTGAGCTGCTGCACGATGTTGCTGCTGCGGGCGTGACTCAGGCGCACGGTTCCCACCTCGCATGGATGTTCGTCCTAGGCATTTGCACCAACATCAGCACCATCAGCGTGCACATCTTTGTGCAGTCTGACTACACCCGCTTTGCACGCAAGCCTCGCGACCAGGTCCTGGCCCAGCTTGTCATGGTGCCGCTGGGCACAATTGTCGTCGCCCTCATTGGCATCGTGTGCACCTCGTGCGCCGCCAAGATCTTCCCCGAGACAAGTGGCACTCTACTGTGGCAGCCGTACGAGCTGCTAACACGTCTACAGCTGCACTACAACAACTCGTCCCGATCGCGAGTGGCCGTCGCCTTTTCCAGCCTGGCATTTATGCTTGCCCAGTTCGGCCAAGTCGTCGCCAACAATGGCGTCTCCGGCGGTATGGATTTGTCGGCGTTGTTGCCCCGCTACTTTACCATGCGCCGCGGTATGCTGGCGCTGACGTGCATCTCGTTCATTGTGCAGCCTTGGCAGTTGATGAACGGTGCAAGCAGCTTCTTGACGGTCCTAGGCGGATACGGTGTCTTCTTGGGCCCTATGACAGGCGTCATGTTCTGCGACTACTTTATCGTCCGCAAGCGCGTCTACAAGTTGTCGGACCTGTATCGCACAACGTCTGACAGCATCTACCATTTCAGCCACGGCGTGAACTGGCGCGCGTTTGTGGCGTGGATTATGGGCGTCTGGATCACTCTGCCTGGTTTTGCGCGCATGGTCCAAGGCGGCCCACCGCTGGACGGCTGGTCCAACATGAACTACTTCAGCTGGCCGTTGGGCACACTCATCTCGATGACGGCGTTTTACATCATGAACTGGCTGCAGCCTGTTCCTGGTTTGGGCCAAGTTGATGATGAAGACTACTTCGGCGTCGACGGTCCACTAACCGCTGTGATTGAGAGCCAGGAATCAGACAGCGGCAACGAGAACATTGATAGCGGCCGCTTCGACAAAAAGGTGTAGACACTGTTGCTGAATCTTCTTGGTAAAAAGTAAAATTTACTCTTGTCAGTAAACCAAATTGCCCGTCTTTGGCTTATGTTTGTTATAACATACATTAAACTTTTGTTGCCCACATCATGAACGTGAATTTTTCGGACTCTCTATTAAATACCGTCCTATGACCAATTGATAAGACAGGGTTGACAAAGACTAAAAAGTAAAGATACTAGGTGTGCACCGACCTTTTATATTCTACCTGCAGTTCTTATCGCAGATGCTTTTTATTGGCCGCCCTAGGCCAGGCCGAAGACAGCCTAAGATTGATCTTATTTAATGTCCCATTGCATATGCCATACTTGTATATGACGCCTCCCCAGGTAGTACTTGAGTTTGGAGGTCTGTTATTAACTTCTTTGGCCCAGGTAGTGCCATTTAATTCCTACCAAAACGCAAGCTACGGACACTATGAGCACCTCACGAGACAAATCAAAACGAAGTGTGGGACGACGGAGTACCAAAGCGTGTGATACCTGCCACCGGAGAGGACGAAAATGTCAGGTCGACCGAGAGCCGGCGATTTGCTTGTTCTGCCGCCATAACGGCTTAGCCTGTACATGGAACCGGGTGCCTGCCAAACGAGGACCGAAACCAAAGAACAGTAAAAGTGACGAAAAGAGGCCTTGTAACTCGGCAACAAATGACCATCCCAAGACCGCATGGGTTCTCGACGAAGCAGTACACGGGTCCAGGGTAACGTTGACGACATTAATCCGCTCATACTTTGATTTTGTTTATCCTATGTATGTTTGCTATCTCTGGCTCCGAACAGCTTAGAAAAAACTCGCATTCTGATAGCAGCAACGACAGATCGAATTATGTTCACGAACAGACATTTATGGAGCGGTGGACAAGCCAGCAGATGCCGAGTTCGAAGGCGTCGTATGGTCTACTCATGGCCATGTGTTCTCTGGCCGCGTACCGCATTCAAAAGGGAATCGCACCGGCTACGGTCGGGTTTGCTCGCCATCTGAAACCGCAAGTGTATCTGCAGGAGGCCATATCATCCGTCGACTTATCACTTGCTGTGCAGAAGCAGACAGAAGAGCTCCAGGCAGTGGCTCTTTTGTGCGTGACCGGCCTCGAGAAGGGTGATGCAGCCTTGCTCCAGCAATATCTTGGACTCTACCACGCGACTGTGGCCAACCAGAGCTTGTATGACGAGAATAGGTGGCCGCCCAGCATGCACGATATGGAAAAGGAGCAACGGAGGCGATTGTACTGGTACATGTACCGTCTCGAAGTTCACACGGCTCTTGTCATGGGCCATCCTGTCCGCTGCCCCGAGCTCGAATCGCTAGTCGCCTATCCCCAGATTCCCGACTTTGACCGTTTCGGTGGCAATTACGGTGAAGGATCTGAAGCAATAAACGACAATGATGAGGTGGAGTGGCTTACTGGGTGGAACTTTGTTACGGACTTATACCGGGGGCTAGAGCATCTATTGGCCAAGTTCCGGCCCCGGCGGCTCTCCACGCACCATAGCCGAATTGGCCCCGGCTCGACCTTGCCGACGGTGTTCCTCATCGACTTCGACCCCGAATCCAAGATTCTAATGCCACTCAAAGCTGCATTAAATAAACTGCCTATTCGTTTCAGGCACGCTCAACCGCTGTCATCCAATGTATCTCTGAATCGGTGCGGATTCCAGGCGACAAACATCGTTTGCACGTATCAGGTTTGTTCTGAAGCAGAGTTTATGTGCAGTCCTTTGAAATCAGTGTTTTAAGCTAACAAACCACAGCTGGTCCGTATTATGGTCTATGCGTTCAGCAAAGCAACATTCAGCCAGGCTTGTCGCACTGCTATCGACCTAGTTGAAGACATGGCCTCGATTCCAATGGATTATCTAAAATGGACAACGCTTGCTGCGGTAAGTGAAGTAACGTCATACTTTACTGGAAAATTAGAAGTACCAGGGAAACTAACCATAATATCTCTTCAATTATAACAGACACAAGAACTCTCAGGCATTGGCCACATGTTGTGGCAGTTCATGCGTCAGGATCTAGTTACAGCGGATTACCATGAGCTGAGAAGTGCCCTGTAAGTAACAGACTGCGGCTCCATGCATTCTCATTCCTTAGCTAATAGCACGTTAGACTCTGCATCAAGGAATATCTGGAGAGCCTGCAGTCCAGTTTCACGTATGTGCGGCGTGCCAGCATGCGCATGGGAAAGTATGTAGAGGAGATCGACCAGGTGTTGCTCTCGCGAGAGCGAGAGCATACCCATCAACAAGACTCATGCATCCAAAAAGACGATGGAATGAAACAGCAGCAGTCAAATATGCCGTTTCCGGACCAGGATACCTCTCATGCCTGGCGAGACGTATTCAGCGACTAATGATAACCAGGAGCGGTCGGTCTGCAATTGAGAGTCATGATATTACCGTTTTTATTTTTATTTTTATTTTTATTTTTATTTTTTATTTATTTATTTATTTATTTTGTTATCCTGCGACGCTTTCCTCATCAAGGTCCTCGTCGGAGAACAATGACACACAGAAGTAGGAAGAAGGGAACAAAAAGGTGCAACGCTCAAGCAGAAGATGTGCTGCAGATAGCACCTCCCAGTGTCCCATCAACCTCATGCTAGTTTTCATTGTCGTATGTATTCTTCCTTCCCTGAACGCCTAGAAAAGGGGGTACTAAACTACTGGTCGCAAAAAAAAAAAGTGGCATTATCATTTTACCTCCTTTTTCTCTACCAGGGGCTACTTGAACTGATTTCTTTGTCTCAAAACCTTTCCTGTTCCTGTTGCCGTCCGTACGTTTACGTTTGGTCCCAACAACTCCGGTCCCAAATGTAGCAGTCCTTCCCCCAGGACCCCTCGTCTCCTTCGTCACTTTACGTGACTTAACTTTTCACTCCCGCTCGGCTCCGACCTTCCCGTCCCAAGTTAACAGCACTTATGCTCTTGACATAACACCCCAGGCGCGGATAATGTTGTCAGTGTAGCCAGCGAACAGGGTTTGGCCGTCGGCGCTCCAGGCCAGGGACACGCACTCAGGCTCGCGGCTCTTCTTGCCGACGGCCTGGAATTCAGGCTTCAGCTCGTCGACCTTGCTCTTCTTCTCCAGGTCGAAGATGATGATGCTGGAAGCAGTGGCAGCGCACAGCCAGTAGCGGTTGGGCGAGAAGACCAGGGCGTGGATCTCATCACCGGCGTTAAGCGAGTACAGGTGCTTGGACTCGTTCAAGTCCCACAGCATAGTAGTGCCGTCCTTGCCGCCCGAGGCGCACAGGGAACCGTCAGGGGAGATGGTGACTGTGTTGATGTAGCCGGTGTGGCCGATGTGGTCCGTCTGCAGCTTGCAGGTGGAAAGTTCCCAGACCTAGTAAAGGCAAACGCCAACGTCAGTTCAAACGACTTTCCAACAAAAGGCGGGTCTGTGTGCTCCAACAATAAATTCCAAGAAAAAAAAACAAGCGAAGCAAAACGCCCAAAAGAACAAAATGTTGTTTTGGGTACTACATCAGTGCGGTGATTAATTTTGTCTCATGGCCGGCCAAAGCCGGCTCTGAAGTAGCAAATACTTTAAAAATAAAGGTGCAAAACATCATATGGACTTCGCTTGGTTCAGGAAAATCGGGAGCACAGCACGGGGCGATCGGAACACAACTCACCTTGACAAGCTTGTCCCAGCCGGCCGAGACAATCACGGGGTTCTGGGGGTTAGGCGAGAAGCGCACGCAGGAGACCCACTCGGTGTGGCCCTTGTCGGTGATGGTGAACTTGCAATCGCCCAGGGTGTTCCACAGCTTGATCGTCCGGTCGCGCGAGCCGGAGACGATCTGGCGGTTGTCGGCGGAGAAAGAGACGGATAGGACATCGTTGGTGTGGCCGACGAAGCGGCGGGTGGTGGTACCGGTGGACAGCTCCCACAGGCGCAGGGTCTTGTCCCACGAGGCCGACAGAGCGTAGGCACCATCAGAGGAGATGACCTATTAAAAGACTGTCAGTGCCAACATTCGCCTCACAACACCATCGCGGCCATCTCTTTTGTCCTCCAACACTCCTCATTTCAGGTCGATCAAATGATAATAATCATGATGATGATGATAAACGTACACAGTCGGACACAATGTGCGAGTGGCCGTGCAGCGAGCGCTTCGGGTAGCCGTACTGGGCCTCGTCACGGGTCAGGTCCCAGATGATGAGTGTCTTGTCGCGAGAGCCGGACAGGAGCATGTTCGGGCTAAAAGTTGAAAACATTGTAAGTATTTGCTGTGCTTGATCTAGTGACGGACTTTCGAGTCGAACTGCGCCATCCTCTGTTTGCTGATTTCAACCCCCCTCCTTCAATCACAAGCAACAGGTCAACTCTTCCAAAGATCAGTCGCGCCTGTGAGAAAAGGCGGGCAGGCAGAGGTTCGGTTTTCAGAAAATTCGGCGGGCTATTCGCAAAAAGGGGGGGCGTTCTCACTTCTCAATCGACGTGGCCAAGCTGGTGACCCAGCCGCTCTGTTGAACACATATGTGTTAGCCATAACATTCCCAGCCAGGAAGAAAAGAAAAATAAGAGCCAGCAGCAGCCCAAGCCGATTCGTCCAAATCTCGGGCACGAACTCCTCCTCTTTTCTGGTCGGCTCATTAATGGCCCAGAGTTTCCAGGCGCCAGTTGTAGGTCTCGTAGTACTTGGACTGCTGGGCCTCGATTTTCCCACCCCGATGGCCGACGACGACAACATTGCGGAGCGTTCCATCACAGAAGCTGCTGGTGCAAAGGAGGAGGTGAAAACGTACGTGGCCCTCGAGGGTGCCCTTGAGGATGAGCTGCTCTGACATCGTGATGGTTGATGGAATTGGCGTCGGCACAAGGTGTTCAATTGTGTGGTGTGTGTGATCGTTTTTCCTGGCAACCAATTTGGAGGGGACGGCGATGCGAAGCAAAAAAAAATTGACGTGTAGGCAGAAACACCCGCTTTCCTTTCGTAGAACGAGGGCTCGACTGGAAAAAAGTTTCAGAGTGATTAGGGCGGGTGTTGACTTCTATGGGGCGTTTGGGCAGAGGGAAATTTTTGTATTATTTTTTGTGCAAGGACCAAAAATTGCCTTAGGGCCAAAGGCGTGTGATGTGGGATCTGGCCAATGGTAATAGAGAGTTGCGTCTGTCCATGTTCCTTTTGCGCTAGAAAAGATTACCATGTGACACGTCACGCATCAGAAATATTGAAAACGTAGCGCTCTTGACAGGTGACAAGCAGCTGTCAACACAAGGCTGCGAACATCATTCAACTAGCGGCCAGGTGCGAACAGACACCAGCGGGATGGATAGAGAATTTGCTTGCTTGATTGTCCAAAGAATATTCTGAAAATAAAACGATATATGTATGTATAATACCCGTTCCCCCCTGCAACTCCAGGCTATGCAAAGATAGGTAAAACAAACAACAGCAAAAGTGATGAAAACCCGGCAGTCCTAAACAATTTTGCGCGCCTTGCGCGGAATCTCTTTGCGGTGGAACATCTTCTCAGCGTTCACCATCATGCTCTGGTCAGCAATGTCCTCCCGCAACGCTGCCGCAGTGCTCTTAGTCGCCTTAGAGGGAGATGTGTCAATGCTCTGAGACGCACGTGATACCGCGCCATAGCCTCCCGCAGCACCACCGGAACCGCTCTTGCGACGATCCTGTTTCGCTTCCGTAATAAGCTCACGCATTGCTGCTTCCCACAAGGTGTAACGTTTCTTGTTCAGCGTGCTCCGGTCTGCGGCTGCGCGGACTTCCTTCAACTTGTTTACCTTGCTGGCACGCATGAGCCCACGAAGTGCCTCCTCGGCTTGTTTTGCCTCCACAGCAGCGGCCTCGCGTATTCTCTTGGGATCACTGGTCCGGATAGTGCCGTCCATAAGTGGTGCAAACCCCAGGCCGAGGTCGCGATCTTCTGCGCTCGCTTTTTCACTCGGGAGCAGCAACATAGAACCGTCGTCGTACCGTAGGCCACTGCCCTGGACAGTCACTGAGTCAACGTCGATTGGCGTGTTGCGGTATGTGTGAATGCTTGGGAAGTCGGGAAAGCTGCTGGGAATGTAGCCTTTGCTCTCTTTTTCAGATCTGCCGCTAAGGGCGTCGCTAAGAAGAGGTAGATCGTTGTAGTCGTTGCGCTCGAGCGGACGACGAGACAGAGAATGCAACTGCGGTTCAGGCAGTTGTTCGGCAAGAGGCCGTTGTGCGAGCTTCGCGGGGCTGATGGGATTCCGTAGATGCGGCCGTAATGCACTTGTCCTTAAGTTAAAGCGAGCTAATGATATGTCCAAATCGACCGGAATTGGCTGAGTGCGACGAGCGGCCAGAGTGAAGCGGGTGACGTCTTTTGTAAGAGACTGAATATCTGGGACGAGTCAGTACGATAAAAAGATGTCACATGTACAGCGTCTCCACGTCGGCTACACCAGAGGCGCGCTTACAAGACTCGGTGATGAGCAGGAAGCTTTCCAATGCTTCATTGCTGGCTGACGAGAAACCGACATGGTCCAATGCTAACACCAGTGCCCGTCGTAGCCCTTGGCGGGCCTCTTCATCTGCCGACGGCTCCTTTTCCGTGCATAAGAGCTGGTCAACCTCCTCTTGCTCCCTTTCGTATTGCTCGCGCAAGCGTTTCAATTTTTGTGGTCGGTGCACCTTGATGTCGGGAGTTGGCAGAGGTGTCGCGTCTGTTTTTGTTGGTGGTTTCTTTTCGCCGATCGATCGTCGGTCGCTATCGTCCGTGCTCCCCATGACGGTATCGATGTCCCTTTTCGGTTCAATACCTCGCGTTCCTGGCGGTGCCGAGGTTGTATCGCTGATGGTTTGTGAGGTTGTTCGAGATGACGTGAAACTTATCGCTATCGCGCGGCCGTTTGTCACATAACGCGAGAGCCTGAAATGTGGGTCGAGTTATGTAATCCACTGTGTCTCAACTAACGGCTGATTTCAGGACAGCCCCTATTCAAAGCATCGAAAGATTCATCACTTTTGATTTAGCGCGGTGATATAGTAGCAGGTTCGTTGTTCTAATGAAAAGAAATACGTTTTATTTTATGAAACTGTCTCAATTCGTACTAGATTTCACCGCCTTAAATGGTATCACAAAACATCGAATATGCGTACGAGCACGGTCACGCTCTCGTCTTGCCTTATAAGCTGTTTACACTTGTTTTGTTTAACTTGTTAATTTTTAATTTTTAGTTCTTGGTCTACTGTCTATTCTGTGTTAGTATGGGTTTGACATGGTTTGGTTTATGGCTGCGGTGGTATGACTCTCAGGAACGGTGAATATTTTATAAACATGAGATCTATCTCACCACACACCCCTTCCCCCCCCCCCCCCCCGCCCCCCCAAAAAACTCGGTCTGGAGCAAAATTTACATTCAAACTGAAATGTACACAACCCACCTATCGACCTCAAAACGCGAAATCGAGACATCTAAACGGGACAAAGACAGCCAAGAGAGCCAGGTCAGTACGGTGTGTGCAGTATGATACAGCTCGGGGTGTGTAAGTAAAACGAAGCGATTGTGCTGGGTGCAGCCCGTATTGCCAGCGTGTACAACCTACAATGAGACGGCAATAAATTGAGCCAATCAAGGCTGCTAGAATTGGAAACGTTGGGAACCTCATTGTACTAAATGCGGGGCCGATGTCCTGGCCCGTAAATAAAACCGTATTCCGGTCCGCACTTGAGGACATTGATTTGACTCAAAACAGAGGCGGCTTTCTCTGCAAAAGTTGTTGATAACGACACAGTGGAAAGGCAAGGAAATCCTACAAAGACGAGACGAATCGAAGAACGAAGCCACAGCAATGTGGACCAAGCTGGGCAGCCGTCTTCCGAGGCACCGCGAGGTTCCTTCCGCCACCTTTGCCATCCACCGCGTTTACAGCGCAGCCGCCCTCGTGTCGGACGGTGCTGGAACAGTGCATGGCGTCTTCCAGAGAGCCGTCAACGCGACGGCCCCGCGGACGGACTGGACGCGCGCTGAGATCTCCGCCATTTACAACACGCCACTCATCGATCTCACCCATGCTGCTGGCACTCTTCACCGTCGCTTCCACAATCCGGGCGCAGTCCAGATGTGCACCCTCATGAATATCAAGACAGGCGGCTGCAGCGAAGATTGCAGCTACTGTGCGCAGTCATCGCGGTACCAGACGGGCCTTAAGGCGACGAAATTATCGACCGTTGAGTCTGTCCTGGCTGCCGCACGCGTGGCTCGCGACAACGGCTCGACCCGTTTCTGCATGGGCGCCGCGTGGCGGGACATGCGTGGCCGCAAGTCTGGTCTGCGCAATATCAAGGCCATGGTCGAAGGTGTGCACGCGCTGGGTCTTGAGAGCTGCGTGACGCTGGGCATGCTAGATGAGACGCAGGCCAAAGAGCTCAAGGATGCTGGCCTCACGGCCTACAACCACAACGTTGATACCAGCCGCGAACACTACCCAAAGGTGATCACTACGCGGTCGTACGACGAGCGTCTGCAGACGATTAGCAATGTGCGAGACGCCGGCATCAAGGTGTGTACGGGTGGCATCCTTGGCCTCGGTGAGAAACCTGAGGACCATGTGGGCCTACTGCACACCGTGGCAACGATGCCTTCACACCCAGAGAGTTTCCCAGTCAACACCTTGGTTCCCATCGAAGGAACGCCTCTATTCAAATCGACTCGAATTCCTTTCGACGCCGTCCTGCGCACGATTGCCACAGCGCGCCTTGTGATGCCAACAGCCATCATCCGCATCGCCGCTGGACGTGTGGACATGAGCGAGGAGAAGCAGGTCTTGTGCTTCCTGGCAGGTGCTAACGCTGTGTTCACGGGTGAGAAAATGCTCACCACGGCGTGCTCGAGCTGGGAAGAGGACCTGGCTATGTTCAACCGTTGGGGCCTTTTCCCGATGAAGGCTCACGTGGAGCCCGTCCTTCGCAAGGATGAAGAATCGCCCTTCCAAGTGAACAACTCGTTTCTTGCAGATGTTCCTACTGCCTCTCACCAGGAGACTTCCACCACGGTTTAAACACCACGCTGAAGAATGGTTCCTAATAAGGCAACTACAATCAACGCAGAGAGAAGCCCCATCCTTCACATGACTCGTCGGTTTGCCTGCGACAGTGCTATTACGCCATCGCAGAGATTGCGCCTAGGGCCGGATACGGGAACTGGAATGACAATGCTGGAAACGCTATCATCTCCCCCACTTGTGTATCGGTTCGTTCATGGCGTTCGACCTCATCGAAGACGTGAGGATGCGGCTCGGAGAAACCCGAGGGGTTGGTATCGCTTTAGAAAAGAGGGGGTAAAATCGATTCGAAACACAGCTGTTTTAGTAAGATAGAATAGAAGGTGCATTCCGGTCGAACTAAATGGTTCTATGTTTGATGGCGATAACGTGAACGGTAAAAATAAAGCGAGGCCCGCGTAGTATCATTCAAGATGCGACCACTGTTCTCATCTTAAGTGAAAAGGTTGCCATTCATAGCCATTTTTATCAAGTGCTTATGGTGCTGCCAAGCAACGCCCATGTCATCCAATCCCCCCCAGAAATATCGTGGTATTACAATCAAAAACATCAAGAAGGCTCTCATTAAATCCAAAAAGCAAGCAATGAATCGCCGGTCGCAGGATAATGAGTTGCCCTTAACCGCTGTTTGCTCTCTCTACAAGCCATTCAGCTGGTTCTGAGCATCCATCGCCTGACCAATGGAAATAAAATCGAGCTGGAAGCGTGTCAGTGGATGGGCGGGATTGCCAAAAATGACGAGACAAGAAAACAAGAATTAATCGAAACGAAATAATGACTTTACATACCAAAACAAAATTGGGAGTACGCCCGAACGCGTTGACACAAAGGCTTGTCTGATCAGTAATAGATGAAAGCGAGTTCGTAGTACCCGCGTTAATCGTGTCTGGGATGAGAATGACTTCGCCAAAAATATCAATCTCGACGTCAAGGAAGTGGTTCACCAGACCCATGCGGCCGGAGGCGCTAGCTCCAGCAGGACGGTCGAGTGTGCACTCAGCGAAATTAGGATCTGTGGTGTCGTATGGAGTTTCGTAGAGGTATGTGAATTCGTCAAGAATATAGTTGACCTGCGATGTATCCGCATGGTAGTCTAAGTCGGTGTTAGCAGGATGCTATTGTGACATAACTAAGTGAGAACCACATCGAAGTAGAACGCACCCATAAAAACAACCAGCCGCTTCCCACTCGAAATCAGCTCAGCTAGAGTTGGCCACTGGTCGAGGCTCAGCGTACCCGAGGGAGCATACGCGTATGAGTCGAGACCCACAGCTGAGAACACGGTCCCAAACTGAGAGACGGGAATGGAATCGCCATTTGTAAGAAGAAGAGTGATGACTTCGTTTGGGTTGCCGTCAAGAAAGCTCTTGATGGGGGTCAAGTAGCTGGCGAGCGTCCCAGCATCCTTCTCGAGACAGCTGGTGTGGCAGAGCTCAATGACACCGTTCTTGTTGTGGCTCTGGGCTTGCAAGAAACGTACTCCCTGGCCGAGCTGGCTGGCCACAGACGTGAACTGGTTATCGGTGGGCAAAAGACCAACGAAGGCTGAGTCGTGCGAGCCAACGTAAGTGACGTCGCTATAGCGCCGGCTGCAGAGTGACGGTGAGCCGTTGCAGCTCTGATCCCGCCGGTCAGACTGTGACGGGGCCGCCAAAACGGCCACGGCAAGGACAGCTGCCGCGACAAGCAGCTGGTTCAAAATGGAACGCATGCTATACAATTATATCCCCACAATGTATTTAATGGAGGAAAAGACAACCAAGAAGAGAAACCAAATGATGAAAAGGCCAGTCGCTAACAGGTGGCTTTGCTGACAATTTGGAGATGTACCTGGGACGAGGCTCCTTGGTGAGAAGAATAGACTGACCGAATTTCGAAACGATGACGAAGGAGCCGAATAGGGAGCCGTTTGGCCAGCTTTTACGTTTCGCAATGTCTGGAAAATCTTGCTGCGGGAAACGATCGTCATGGGTGGAAAGGGAGAAAGGGAGGGCAGGCGGCTGGCATTTATCCTAGAGGCTCTGGTATTCACGAGGTAAAGCAAATGCGTAGGTCGACGTTTGGGTAGCTGCGACCCAGCCATCGTTCACTAGGACCCCTTCTCTTTCCATTTTGAGCTGTATTAGGGGTCTGACAGAGGAAGACGACGACAATCGGCCACGCACTCCTTCCTCAAGTGATCGTTACTGCGATGGTCTTGAGAAGGGATCGGTCGGCAGACAGACGGGCAGGAGCCATCGTGTTAAGGCGTGACCTCCAATAGGTTACGGAATGCAACCTTTTTGAAAACCAATGAAAAACCTTAGTACTGGCTTCCGTTGAGATGAAGTACAACGCGTGGCGCTTTAGCTCATTACAGTCTCGGATGTTCTCACACCCAAACGGCGGCGAAGGAAACAGATTCGATCATTTGGACGACGACTTCTGGTCTCGCTTGCCATCCCTAGTTGAGGTGGTGATGGCTCTCTGGCATGTGATTGGTGCACGAGGGAAATCTAAGTTCAGCAAAAATCGACCGACGGGAACAGGTCGGCCTGTGTCGCCCTGCATACTTCGGTGCCATCTGTATGCTGCGACCGTCCATTGACCAACAGGGGCAAACCAGCCTTCCATCGAGCGTTAGCACCAGTACGAAATACTTTAGGGGTCATAATTGACGAGTGCGTATTAAAGAGATATTTGATAGGCACTGGAGGGATTGGAGAGTTGGCTTTGCTTATTCTGTGAATAAAAGGAGAATCGGGACTAAGTCACTCGAGGAGAAGGATGATAGACGGGAGAGTCACGAACCACACACACACACACACACACAACAAAAAAAAAAAAAGGGAAAACAGACAAATGTGTTCGCTTCATGCATCGGAGGATAAAAGGACAGAGAAACCGCAGATGTTCGCACCGACCCCAGATTTGGTGTCAGAGCCTCGACCGACACAAAGTCTGGCGGATCGGCCGCACATCGCTCCACTGCAACGCTATGGCCCTTGCGCACATCCCGGCGCTACATCTACTCTGTGGTTGGGCAATCTTTTCGAACGATGGGTACCTTCCGGGTTAGGAGACATCCCCGCCTGCACGTCGTAAGATTGAATGTATTTGTAGAATCAAGACCGTTTGGCATAAAAACTCATACTGTTGATTAACAGCGCGTATACGAAGTAAAGCGTGAATAGATGCGGATACAACTCACGGCGCTTTACCTTTAATGGGAAGTGTGTTGACTCAAAAGCGTGAACGACGGTTGATCATCTGCGAATGAAGCATGTGCTTATGCAGGTTGACACCGCCGAGGCACGTTCTATTTCCACAACATCCTATTTGCGATGAAGCACCTTGACATATCCTCATATGTCCGCAACATGCGCTGCCTCGAAATGCATTGTGTCTTGATATCGTTTTGACCGTGTGAGTGAGACACCTTGAGAGTCAGGAAGAAATTAGGTATACTTTGCCGTCGAACGGAACGGTCATACGACACGATTGTCTTACAGTGAACCGCACACTTGCGGAAAATCCAAGACGATGCTAAAGTCAGAGGTAAGAACCAACAAGACAAAGCCTCACAGGATGAGCGTCGACATTGCATTCAATATTTGAAAAGATGTATCAGACTTTATTTTTTTGCTTTTTATTTTAGTAGAAAACCAAGCCGCATCTAAGGCCCGGACGCTTGTTTCGGTGGTTCCACCGTTGGTACCGGTGTCTCTGGTGCAATAGTCGGAGTTGACGCACCAGTTTCGGCCGCTGGGGCTGTTGTAGCGTCTGTGCTAGGGCCTGCGGCACCCGCCATTATTGAGTTCATTTCCTTCTTGCTGACTGCATCATCTGCTTTTGTATCCGGCTCTGCCTCAAAACCGGGAGCACCTGCGGCGCCCACGAGGTCGTCTAGATTGCCCACTTCAGTCGGGCCACTTGCGCCGTTTGGCGGCAAGGCCCACGCAGGGAGTGGACTGACATAACTCCAAGCACCATCGGCAGCCTCATATCGCAGGCTGTGCAGCCATAGTGAGAGCTCGTGCGAGCCCGGATCCGTGTATAGCGGCGTGTCACACTCCTCGCACACGTGGCCCGACATGCGCTCGGCCTTGCGCTTGTGGTACTCATCGACCATCTCATCGTAGTAGGCAACAGCCTCAGCGACATCTTCCTTGCCCATCCGCGAGAGGCGGCTGATAATGTCCTCGTCGGTATGTACAGACGCATCGGCGTCGCCCTGGCCTAGGTCAAAGCCCCACACCTTCTGGTTGGCATAGATGGGATCGTTCTCGATGGGGTGGCCGAGATACTGTAAATGCACTCGGAGCTGATGCGTGCGGCCAGTGACTGGCAGGCAGCGAACGATAGAATAGCCTGTACGTGATTCCGGTCCTTCAGACGGAGACGCATCGCCCTTCTCTCCGTCCGGCCGGTAGTAGGCAAGCCGTTTGAAAACGGTACGCGCAGACCGGCCGTTGGCCCGGACGCGGTTAAGGCCCAGCTTGGGCGAGATCTGCAGAATGGGCTGGTCGCAAATAACCTCGCCGTCAGGGAACCGACCTACCACCCGTGCCAGATATTCTTTGCGGACAACACGTGCTTGAATCTGCAGACTCAGTCGCTTCGCTGTCGCAGGTGACTTGGCCAAGAACATGATACCGCTCGTCAGGCGATCTAGCCGGTTGCAAGGGTAGGGAATGAAACCAGGTCCCCGCTCATGCTTTAGGATCTCCACCACCGAGTTGTATTGGTAGCGACCAGCTGGGTGTACCGGAACACCTGCTGGCTTGTTTATGACCAACATATCATCATCCTCATGAATTATCTGGACGGGGTCGGCGGTGACAGGCGGCTCGTGGCGGTGGAGGGTATGCGAGACACGTTCACCGTTTTTCAGCACGTGATCCGGACCGACAATTTTGTCGCTGACTTTTACGGTACCCGACTCCATGGCTCGACGGTAATAAGCCAAAGGGCGATCCCGAAATTCACTCTCAAAAACGTCCAGCAGAGACCGTCCCCGCCAGCGTTCCTTTACCCATGTATTATAGGTGTAGTAGTAGGGTTTGACCCGGCGCAGGCCGCCTTCGAGGTAGTAGCGATCCGGCCAGTTAGCGGCGCGGTCATCACGGACAGCATCGGACGAGGTTAAAGACGGCCCAGCTGGCGCTGCAGAGGATGATTTGACGGTTTCTTCTACAACCGCCAAGATACCTCTGTGCGATGCCGTGGCAGCGTCGTGGCTTCTATCCAGCTTCGCTGCCTTTGCTTTTGTTTCCGGGGTGTCGTCGGTCGCCTGAGACGGTTCTGACGGCGCTGCCTGGGCCACGGTGAAAGGATTAGAAAAATCTGCTTCGGGCGCCTTGACCACTGCATTCGGACCCATGGCATCTTGAATTGCCGCGGATGCAGCCGCCGGTGCAGTTCCGACTTGCTGCGTGTCCGACATTGCTGGTGTAGAGCCCGACCTGGGCAAGCAGGCGCTTCTGAAAAGTGTATATGCAGGTGTAACTCTCGCCCCCTTTGTAGAGAAAGTTCGAGGCGGGAACAGACGCAATAGATAATACGCCAGTTTGAATCTTCCGTTCTGTGGGCGCGAGTGCAGGGAACGGACGGATCGCAGTGGAGCGTTGTCGGTTGACAAATCTGGGATGGAGGGGAATTTCAACCAAATGCTAGTTTCAAGGGGAGCAGGAATTGCCAGCTGATTTCTCCGTAAGGATTAGTATACGGAGTACAACCTGAAGCGGTCCTCAACACCCTCTCGTTTTCGTAATAATGCAAGCCGAACGTTTTGGATGTATGCAGTGGTGAACATTGTCTGCTTGGTCGTTCGCAGTTTCGACGGCGTCTGTCAAAAATTTAGGCGGTGAAACGCTCTGGATCTGGCAGAATTTTGCGTCCGGCTGTTTTGTTCAGAGGTTTCAGTGGGGGACCACCACAAGGTGAAAAGGCAGACCAAAAAGGGAAAGTAGCCCCCCCGCAAAAAGACTACAAGGTCACTTTGAAAAGAGAGCCGAGGCTGACTATGCGCACCGGAGGGCCAATGCCGTATCTCACCCGGGACATTAATGCTGGCCTATTCAACTTGGTTTGCGCAACCTCACAAGCTTTAGTTCGCCTGTTGTTCTCATTACCATTCAATTGTAGCTTGATCGTACTTTGAGCTCATTGTCGCGCCCTCAGTTTTTATTATTTCTACAAAGTAATCTACACAATGCCTTCGCTAGCCCTCCTCAAGTCCCGCAAACGCGAAGACTATCCTTTTATTCTCGATTACCGTACACGATGGTGAGCGTCTAAAACCCGGCGGGACTGTTGTCGCATATTTTACACAAGGCACGTTTATAACACTAGGCTTTCTGGCTAACTCGCCCAGGGCCGACAATGATATGTACGCGCACATGAACAACAGCATCTACAACTTCCTCTTCGACTCAGTTGTCAACACATATCTCATCCGCCACTGTGGTGGCTTCGATCCAGCTCGCCGTACGCCTCAGTACGGCATGGTAGTCCACTCACACACTGACTACTTTGCATCCATATCTTTCCCCGATGTTGCCGAGCTTGGCCTTCGTGTTAAGAAGCTCGGCCAGTCTAGTGTCCACTATGAAATCGGACTTTTTGCCCAGGGCCAGCCCGGCGTCCGCGCAGTTGGTGTTTTCGTGCAGGTGTTCGTCGACGCAGCCACAGACCGGCCCAACCCCAAGACAGGTATGCACCCATCATTGCGTGAGGGGCTAGAGCGCATCATCGCGCGGCTCCCTGGCGACGATGAAGTAGAAGAAAAGCCGAAGGGCATGGCTGGAAGTAGCAAAATATGAGGCACGCCGGCTAGCATACAGCGCTTCATACATAACCGGGTAAAAAACAAGCATAGCGAACGACATTTGTAGCCTGACTATGTTATTATAATCAAATATATAAGGCGGTGGGGTGTCGAAATGTCACATGTTCGTTTCGATGTATGGCCTGGTGCCTGTGTATTGTCATTCGATTTGGCCGATATTTACTACATGTACTCGGTACCATATACAATAATATGTGCGTATACAAATAGGTATATGTACTTTTCATCCTGTCCCCATAGCGGAATTTAACATGACCTTTTCGTTTTGTCAAAGGAAATTTTGCTCCGCTGAGCAGGATTGATCGATATATCGCGAACCAATGTTTGGAATAGCTCCCAATAATATTCCGTCTACCTCCAAAAATCAAACGTGAGGACGTAACGGTCGTGATGCTTGCGCTAGGTAGTGAAAAAAATCGAGACACATAGAAAGAAAAGAAAGAACTAAAACGTATGTAGAAAATGCACTTTTAGCCGTCCACATCCATGGCGCCGTTTGTGTTTTCCTCATTCTCGTGCTGTTGCAAAGCAGCTGCTGCCGCAATAGCAGCCACTGTGATAGACTGAAGCCCTGAGAGATCTTCAATCTTCGATGCTGCGACAGGCTTCTCCCCGGAATCCGCCCCACTTGGTGGGCGAATGTTACCGACCTGTTTGTCTTCGCTAAGGCTGCTAATGGCAGCAGCAGCAGCAGCAGTTAGGGTATCTACTGCAGCAATAGCAGCATTATCCACAGTACTGACAGTATTCGGACTACTCTCATTCTCATTTGCCGTTGACACGACCTTTTTGGTTGGACTCCTTGCTGGTTTCTCGGTCTCCTTTACTGACTTCTCAGCCGAGCCGGGTTGGAGCCGGGTTGTTAGCTGGGGTGGCGTTGGAGGCATGGTCAGCTTGTCGGTTCGCTGAGGAGGCAAGCCGTTCGTGTCGGTGACAGGGTTTACGACTGATATTTGAGGAGAGGCGTTGTCTTTGGCACCCTCTGCATTCGTACTTGGTGGAAGGGCGTTGTCGTCGTTGGTGCCAAGGTCGACATTTCCATTCCGACTCATAGTATCGTTGCTGCTGGTGTCAACAGTGTTGACCGTAGTGGCTGTACTCCAGTTGTTTCCGCTACCATTTCCATTATTGCTGCTGTTGGAATTGGCATTGGCGTTACTGATGACACTGCTGTTGCTCATGCTTCCACCGTTTCCGTTGCTTCCGCCACCAGTCCCACTACCCATGGGGTTGCAGAGGCGATAGGTGTTGTCTTCAGTCCGAGAGATGATTCCCTCGTCCAGTGCCCACGAGATAAGAAGATCATCCACTCCGAGAAACTCGCCCTCGCCATTCTCCATATGACGACCAACGTGTTCAGTCCATTCATCCCAAGCACTACGGCCTTCAAAAAGACGGTTACAGTCCGGTCTGGGACAGGCAGATCGTTGAGGAGGGAGTCTCCGAACGATACAGCAGGACTTCTGCATATCTTTGACGTACTCTTCCCACTCCGTCTCAACCTTTGCATCTCTCTTTTGGATAGCTTTCCGGATGTAGGGCGGCGCGTGCATTCGACGGAGGTGTTGTGTAAAGAGGTCCTTCCGATTAAATTCGTTGCCTTTGCCATCTATAGACCCTTGCGAGCAGTCCGAGCAACGGTAGTATTGGAGGCACAAATGCTGCGAAGCAATGTGGCGCTTCCATTCGTTTTTGGATCCAAACGTGCTCGTACATCCAGCAAACGAGAAGGCACATGGGAATGGCCTAGTGTGCGCTGAAGCAACGTGCTTTCTCAACGAAGAGTGGTCTTTAAACGGTTCGTGGCTGCACCAGTCGCACTGTACTTCGGGTTTTGAGGTTTGAGACTGCAAGCTTGGGAGCGACTGAGAAATATCAGATTTGGACCGAGATCGAACAAGCTGTCCATCTTGTGACTTGGCAGTTTTAAACCGATAGTCTTTCTTTGGCTTGCCCTTTTTGGGTGGTGAAGACGTGTCCTCTTCTCCGTTTTTCATTTCAGTTTCCTCTGAGGTGGAGTCGTCAGTCTGGCACTTTATGACGTCCTGTGCGATCTTCAACAGATGACCACTCGCAGTAAACGGAGGTGGAGTATTGCCGTTCGTCGGGCGGACATGGCTAAGTGCTTTCAGTTGCTCTGCAGCCTCCTTCATTTCCTCGGAATCTTCTCTTTCGTCCTTGGGCAGGGTGGGGCTACCACCTCGCGAAACAATGCGAGGAAGTGAAATACTGTGTGCAGGGGGCGTGAACCGCTGATTAGGATGCTCTTGCAACTGTGGAATCGAGTCCCGCCGGATAGAGCCATTTGCCTCATAATGACTGGCAGGACCCAGTTCGTGAAAATGAGCAGTTGCATGCACCTGGGAGTTTTGACGCTGAGGTACTGGTAAAGGCAACGGCTGATGGGGATGTGCTATTGGAGGTGGTAGCTGTGGGAGCTGCGGAGTTGGCAACGTGGATTGGTGTTGAGGAGAGGAGTGGAACTTCAACGGCGATTGTTGGTGTTGAGGTTGGTGGTGTTGTTGTAGCAGTGGCGGCAGGGCACCTGGCATTTTCTGAGATTGCTGCTGTTGAGTCTGCGGGGCTGCTGGCTGCTGCTGAGTCTGCGGGGCTGCTGGCTGCTGCTGGTAAGTATGGAAATCATTTCGGTAGGTCGGCGAAGTGTTGACAGCCGCTTCACGGGCCTCAAGAAGCGTTCTCCCATCCTCAATGTCCCTAGCTAATGCAGTAGGGTGTGAATGTGGTACTGTTGTGGATTTCATCAGGCCGTTGTACAGGTTGATCAAGTTGTGCGAGTTGATATAACCCAAGGAAAAGCATATCTTGGCGTCTTGAATGACAGTCCACAAGGACTGTGGGATGGAGATGAGCAGGACTGTTGGTGGGCCAAGAAACATGCCCTCAACGGCGACCTTGGAAGCCAAAGAGGGTGTGTTTGCTAACCATTGGTTAAAGCCAGTCATATCCGGACCAGGGTCACCCACAAACGTGGTACAGACCAACAGTCGGGGCTCGTTAAAGACCATATCGGCAACAGCAGCAGGGCTGATGACTGGTGCATCGCGGCTCTCAGCAGACTCATGACCGGCAGCTTTTGATGTAGCATTGGCGCCATTTTGTGCTTGAGGTAGCTGGTGGCCTCTTGGCATCGGGGCCAAATCAATCGTGGCTTTAGCAGGTGTCAGGTTGAAGAATATCGGTGCATGAGGCACAATTGTTGTCGGCTTGCCATTCGGGCTGTACTTCACTCTGGGCGGGTAGTGAAGGTCGTAGCTTTGTTGGATACTGACAATGTCGTCGTACAGGTGCTGTGCGCTGAAAGGTCGCCCGTTACCCAATTTCTGTAAAGATTCGGCTAGGTAGGATGTGAACGTCCGCGTTCCGGGCTCTCGCAGGCCGGCATCGTATGTAGAGGCTGCGATCGCTTGCTTTGCGCCATTGCTTCCGGAAACAGGCATATGTCTTGGCGCACAACTGTCGAGAAGGAGAAGGACATCGGAGTGGGAGTCCTCGATTGTGCTCCGTATGGTGTTCCACTTTAGTCTTGGAGAATCTTCACGAGCATTGCTGTATCGAAGGAAAACATAACATCAAACTGCGGTTAGCTGTCGTCCATACTGATCACCCATAAGAGTACTTTCAGACAAGAAGTCCGCGGTGGCAGCGTAATAATCGCTCGGCTGCCGCTTGACACGCAACTATAGGGTTTATTGCCCGTGGCAAGATTAACTCACCAGGACCAGTACAGCTGATTGTCAAGGCTGTTGTGGCCATGGCCGACGTAATATATGATCAACAGGTGATCTACGCTCGCCTGATCCAAAAAACTGGCGATCCGGGATTTTAGGCTAGCACCTGGGTCGATAGAAGTAGGAATTCCCCAGTGCTCTGCGCTGAAATTGTAACGGTTGCGGAGTACGTGCTCCAGCGAAGTTAGGTCGGTCGACGACGTTACGTCGTCTTCCCACTTTAGCAAAAGCGCGGAGACTTTGGCGTAGGGAAGCTTTTGACCCTGACGATAGATATACATAGCGGCATCTTGCAAGTGTTTCGCGAATGTCTCGAAGTCGTGTCGTTGCGTGTCGGCTCCGGTTTCGGCATCGCGGGCATCGGTTATCGGGGTATCGTTCGAAGTCATTTGGATCTGGAGTTTTGGGTTAATTGACTGAGGTTTGGTGGGAGTGGGGGGTGGCAGGCAAAATTTGGTAGGTGACTGTGGGAGCAAGGCTGAAGGCCGAAAATGCGCGCAAGCGCCGAGTAGCCCAAGCAGCAATTGAGGCAACGGCGAAACAATTGGGGTGGACCTAGGGGATATGTACCTGCTCGGCGCCGGAAACTGTCGGTTGCGCTGCGACCTTCGCAGGTGTAGTTGCCTTTGCAGCCTTCGCCATGTCCGGGGAGGGTGGCGGATCCGGGAGCTTGGGCGCCAGTCGGCGCCGCTTGTTGGGAGGGTCCATTGCAGGCGGGAAACGGCAGTCGGACGGCCGGATCCGCAGCGATGACAACGTTATTCTCGATGCGTTATGTGAATTGTGCGGCTGCGTGCATTTGTCGAGGACATACGGTCTGGGGGAGGGATGCGACGGGGTCGGCACTGACGTCCGGCGACTCGGAAGAACGCGGGAAGTAGAAAAGCGATAGAAAGGCGCGCAGCGTGCAGAAGGCAACAAAATTTGAAGGATAAGTAAAGGAAAGCAAGAAGTGCGACAGAAGCGACAGCTGCGAGCGGGAACAAATGCAAAGCGCAGAAGGTGGTTGTGAGGAGAAGAAAAAACCGAGGCGCGGGAGGGAGGAAGGCTTTCGGAGGCAGTCGTGCAAGGTAGCAAAAAAAGAGGAGGCAAAGAAGTTGTGAGGCAGAGGGGAGGGAAGTCGCGGCCCTGGCCTTCTCGGGGCTTGTGGCCTATTTTTTGCGTTCAACCTTTTTTCTAGCCCTTCGTCTCTTCGTTCTAATGGAGACGGGGCGACCTTTGTCGTCCAAATTAGCAGGTGCGTTCGGTAAGGCTGCGTGGACAGCGCTGGGCTCTCATTCTCTGATCGTGCTTGGCGGAGGCAGGTGGACCCTGGTAGCCAATCCGAGGCACCGGACTGAGGATCCAAAGCCTCGCAAAATGCACTAGCGTTGTTTCTTGAGCTGTGGGGCATATTTTGTACCTGTGGAAATTCCGGCTTTGTCCAGGAGGCCCCCTCGAGTCGCTCCCTGCTAAGATACAACCTGGTGTTATTATAGTGCGCGGCGTGACTCCGGGGGAGAGTGCGCTTCAATTGGGCGGTGAATGTGTTCGAGCTAAGCTAGCCGGGGCGCGTCCGAGTGCTGTTGGCGTTCTCCTATTTGTAAGTATGGATGCCTTACGCACCACGCAGCCTCAAGTCGCAGGGCCAGGCCACATATAGAAGGCCTCGCCTGAGCCAAAGAGGCCTAATTTTGGGCTTAGGTCAGGTCCTCAGCCCAATATATCTGTGGTGCCGTTGGCGACCATCGGCGCAAATACAAAATCCCTCCCATACCTTCTTTGACAGGCGAGAGCGAAAGAGCGCGACGAATGTTACGGACGATTATATCGTATTCAACGGTCACTGGTACTGATCGGAAGAGTGCAATTAGAAGTAGGTTAAGAAAAGTTGGCGCACAGATGAACATGGACAACACTGATCTGGCGATTTTGAGGCGGTGTATTTTGTGTGCGCCAGGATGATATTGTGTACAGAGCCGCTCTTTAATGGTCCTCTCGATCTCTTTGGCCTAGGTTCTTTGCGTTATCTACGCTGGCATGGCACACCGAGTAAGACATTGTCGACACGCCACGCTGTCAAAAAAAAAAAAAAAAAAAAAAAAGAAAAGAAAACACTCTTACTCTTCATGCGGTTCCAGTGATCGATAGTCTTTGGCCAAGGGATGACGGGTCGACAGGTGGTTGTCTAATGGGCCCCGTGAGAGTACCGAAGGCGGACGCAAGCCTCCATGGATGTCCAATGCCGCGTTTAGGGCTTCCAACTGTTCTTTTATCACTCTCAAACGTCCACCAGGCATCTCTTACACCTGCTCTTGCCTCAGTCCTCCCTGGACTGCTCCTCTTTCCGGTCTCTACGTGGATCTCTGTTTCCTCTTGCGGACTAGGCCTTGCTTGCGGCCTGCAACACCGGTGCAAAAGAAGCGACCTATCCAGCTTACCCTTTAAGAGGTAATTCAGGCGGCGAGGCTGTTAGCACAAGGTTTTGCACCTGGTATCTTAATTACAAAGCGTAAGTAGAGCCCAGCTCACATTTATTTTTGACAGTGTGCTGGCTGCTTTCGGGTCTGATCCTATGTAAGAAAGGAAAGGTCAGAGTCTCGCCGTCTACAGACCAAAGCAGCCTGGTATGGCCGTTGGAGGACAAAGTCGCCAGACTGCGAAAGGGAGCTTCATGCGCGGATAGCGTACCTTTATCACGTCCTCCAAAAACTATACACAAAACTCGGTTTTTAAGACAAACTGCCACGGTCTGAACAATGTCCGTTTCGTTTCCGCGAACTACTTGCAGTGTTTTAGCACCAACCTGGCCGAGATCGCCCACAAAAAGGCTGTCGGTTATACCGGGTAGCTTCCTAGCGTTGTAAGATGACACTCCCTTATCCCGTCTTTTCCGCCAAGCTCTCTTGTTTGCGCTTCTCTGTTGGGACTGTGAAGGAACCTATTTGGAGATCAAGTACGGTCTCAGGCGACACAAAAACGCTTCAAACTATTATGTGCTTCATGCTCGTGAGTGCTCTATTCTAAAGTCAATGTGTGCACCATGAGTCTCTGTTCGGCGCAGACGTATGACGTTCACGAATATAACCCAACTCTCCCAACATAAAAGAACACTCTCAAAGCGAGACAACATTGAGGTGGTGGCGCCGCTCAACACCACCACAAATTGACCAGTCCTGGACCAAAACAGCAGGCCATAAAGTTGAGGTATGCTCGTAGCCGAAATCTCAGTCTTCCTCCTCACCGTTTGTTTCCTAGCCTTCACGTACGGCACCACAGTATGTGAAAGTTTCACCACAGTTCCTCTGCAACGTAGGCGGGAAGCTGATGATTTCCGAGCGCTGCTACGGCATATTGGGCGGATGCATGGGCAACGAAAAGCCAATCAGAGGTAGAGCGATGGCCTACCAACGCAGACTGCTGTTCCCCATATGGTGGAGAGGCCCCATTTGTTTCGTGATTTTGGGTACAACGCATCACATTGATTCATTCATAGAACGAGGAGCTCTGTAAAGAGGCTATGAAATGCGGCAGACTGCAACAGGTAGAAAATATATTGTCCTTACTCCAAAATAGCCTGCTTTTCTACGCGGCTGTCTCCTTGTCTTTTCACTCTCATACGATGTATACGTTCCATAACGTCTTGTTCCTACAAACAAAGTACTACATTCGGTGCTTCCATCACCTCATGTGGCACTTCGTGCAGCACGAAGGTGGCGGAAGTGTGTGGGATCGACGGTTGTAGCGGGAGTAGGGAGAATTCCGAGGGAGTTGCATCGTGACCACTGTACCGTTTCTCTCGTGGCACCTGTTATTAAATATCACAACATACAAAGCCACGGCTTGCTCGGGTATTTAAATTTAAGCCAGCAGCAACCACAACGTACAAGGAACCTCATAGGGTAGCAAGCCCCTCCTAAATGTGAGTTCGTCGAAAGGGACATCGTTGCGTAGGCTCCTTCTGTGGGGCCGAGTGATTCAAAGTGGCTCAATATGGCTTGATTGTGTCTATTTCAGCATGCCTTCCACCTTTCCTCGCCTCATAAGAATCTAACCTATGACAAGCCCTGCGGTAAGTAGTGACACGATCCCTGCCCAAGTACCAACGAAAGCAGCAGGTCTCGGGTAAACGAGAATCCCAATAACAGGAAGATTACCAGTGAGGGGAGACCAGAAATCCACCAGAGTAACAGAACATTAGTTTCATATCTCTACCGCAGCACTCAAACAAGTGCACCAAATTGGGAGGAGGAGAAGCCATGAAAAAAAAACAGACAGAAGTATAAAATGAGCTCACAAAGGTAGAGACGCAAACACTGTCGCAGGCTCTGCCCGAGTTGTTTCCTGTTTGTAGAAATCGCTGCTGTCGCACATGTTCCAAATGGTGGCCAGGTTTCGGCGTGATCTTCGGTAGGGCGGATGAAAAATATGTTTTAGATGTGCGCTGGCCGACATCTCTGATATTTGCGTGTTTCTTTGTTAATTCGATTTGAGACTCTCTGTGGCAGATGTCATGCAGGGCAGACGCTCTGACTGCTCGTGTCTTGACTTAAAAGCCGGCAGCGGGAAGGCTTGGTAGCTTGTGGTTGATCCGGTTCTCACCGTTTGCGCGGAATGTCGATGTGATCACGACAGTCCCGCCTCCGCTACCGTAGCCCGTGCCTAAACAACAGCCGCTACTATCACCAATAATGCATACGAATTGTAGTGGAACTCATATCAAGAGTCGACGTCAGAGTCATATTCTTGTTCGTCGTGGCAGCCGCTGTTGGCATTTCTGAAAGTTGCTGCCATTGGTGGTTCTGATTTTGATGATGATTCTCTTGACGCATTGCGGCGGCGTTTCAGTGCTCTGGCTTTGAGTGAGATGTCGGCTATCTTGATGAGAGCCGAGATGATCTTGAAGATGTCCTTGAATGGAGCCATAAATTCGGAAATGAAAGGAGAGATTAGACCACAAAGCGTGTGATATGATAGGAGCATAGGTTACAGAGTATAGGTTCTCTAGGTAGGTGAAGTATGATACATGACGAAGGGGGGAACGTCGTGTCGCACGATTCCGTGATTTTCTATTTACGTATTTCCTTATCAGGTCGTACACTGTATTCCTCATAAAAAAGGTAGGAGTGAAGGTGCGCATTTACGGAGTGCGTATCGCGCTTTCCTTAGTATGAGTACACGCCTTCAGAGCAATCTCTTAGATCTATGCTACGAAGACATACATTTTGTGCTCGTTTTATTTATGTGCTTGAGAGGTCTCCCAATAACATTCCTTAGTTGGTCTCCATTCGAAGCAACAAGCTCGAGATATGTGAGCTCTCCGGCGTGTTAGCGGCGCTCTCGTTAGACAAATAGGAATTATCAAAGGTCCTCTGCCGACAAGAACCTTTGCTGCTGTCAAACAATTCGTGGGCTTTTGTTTATGTCACCATTGCTGCCCGTATGCAGTCATTAAATTCTATCCTGGCGGCAGCAACACAATCTCCAGGCTAGTGTCCGATTCACTTCTGGTGACAATATACCTGGTTGGAAAGTGCGATACACTGTGTCAGGGTGAAGAACAAATATTGAAATAACATGAGGTGCTGAAAGCGGCAGTCCACTCTATTGCGAAGAGGTGCGGAAAACTGCATTATCGCTACATTGTGAGCCCACACAACACGCCTACGCACCATGTTCCGACGACAAAAGGAAACACAAGAGGACCGAGTGGCTGGGCACCAACTTCGCGTACGTTCTCTTGCAAAATGTCAACAAATCGTCCCCAATAAGGACTGCTATCGTAGAAATACGGCTTGTGTTCAAGTCTCACTCTTTTCAACCATTTTCCTTTTTCTTTCTTTTATCAACACCTGCTTTTTGCCTCTAGACTTGACCGAACCATTCACTCCCAACACAATTTACTGATTCCATCCTGGGAATATTGCATCTCTATCTCGCAGCTCATGGTGCTCGGTCGTTGAGAAGCCGGATACGCCATGAAGGACGTTCCCTGCGGTCTGGGCCAGCCCGGACCGAACCTCTTCTCGTCCCATACTACCACCTGAAGCAGCGCCTTTCTCTGATTCTCCATTGCTCCCATCTGTGTCACCAAGCCACACATTCAGTCGCACGGCAGCCTTGAGCGCGCTGCCAGCGACATCCCAGTTCGTTAGACTCATCTGCACAGAACAGATGCTCAGCATGCTCTTGACAAAGAGGTCGCGTGATGTACCACCTGCACTAGAAATAATTAAAATCGTCACCCACATGAACACGCCCAGCAGAGTCTTCCAGGAAGTCAGCGAAACGTCCCAAGCAGCGGTCCACAGGTGAAGAAATTCATGAGGCTGAACGACCTCGCCGAAAGGCCGACGCCTAAGCACGGCACGAGCATAGATGATTGCAGCCTGTCGAACTACTTGGTAGAGTGGATCTGGTGCAGGAAGAGGGTGGCTTTGTGAAGACGCAGCGGTAGTTGCAGGAGCTGCCGTCGCCTGGCAGGTTGCGTTATTGGCTTGACTACCATTCGACTGGCCGTACACCACGAAGTGCGTGGGCCCATGCCGTGAGTTGAATGCAATCCCGCCGTCGCTTTCGTTTGCAGATATGGGCATGGATAGTAGACTGCCGCCAGCCAAGACTTGTGGCGTCGGTGTCGGCTGTTCCTGATACGGACTGCCACCCCGCCCTCGATGCCCTGTCAACAACCCAGGCGATGCAGACGACGTATGCTGCTGCTGAAGATCTTTGTCAAAAAAAGATGGCGATTGGGCAGTGAAATGTATGTTCTCTTCATGGTGTGGCTCTGCGTCGGACAAGACAATGGACGGACGATCGTCAGATATACATTGCGCCTCGGCAGCGACACTATCACCCTCTCGGTGGATTTGAAGGAGTTCCGGTGAATCCGCCGGCATACGCTGGATGCGGTCATGAATCCACTGTGCCGTTGTCTGCACCTTCTGCAAATCCTTTATCGTTGGGCGTGCAGGAAGAGCCAACACCGCAGTAATTAAGAACCGCATGTCATCGAGTATAGATGCGGTCGTTGGGTGAATGTCTAACGCCTCGGCACATTGTGCAAAAGACGGCTGTCCTGGAACTAAAGGAGTATTTTGAGAAACGCGGAATGGTGCCGGTGAGACATCTTCGTAGTCAAAGAGACCTTGGCTGGTCCCGTGGCCACCATTAAGTACTGGGCCTGTTTCCAGCACAAGAGCCACAGCCTGGTTATTACCGTGGATGGCGGACAGATGCATGACCCTGGATTGTTAGAACGGACAGCAGAAGAACGACGCTACCTAGAAAAGAACTTACGCCATAGTTAGCTTGCTGATCAAGCCGTTCATTCCTAGGTTCCGAAGGCCGCCACGATGGCGAATCATCTCACAAAGGCAACGCAGGTGTGTGTTTAAATTTTGTGTTTGACCCCAGTACCACTCAGCCATGATCCGGCGGATGACAGTGGTGATGGCATCATCAGAGGTGGATGTAGACGCGGGCCCGCCGTTGCCTCTATTAGAACTTCTTCCTTGAAGCTGTGCGTTGAGCATGTCAATGGCACGACCCTTGTGTGTCAGGGTAACCGCCTTGTCGAGGTGACCAGTCTCATACAGGAAACAGGACGACGTGTATATGGCCACCTGGGCCAGAAGAGGAGTTTGTAGACAATAAGGCGCATAAGTGTGCGTCCAAGGGCTCGAAAGATCTTTATTGCCGTCGAAGCAGGACTTGAACCGAGATAAAAGTTTCGCATCTGTAACGCAGTGTCAGATAGAAGGACAACAACAGAGATGTAAAAGTAAATGAGGAAAGTTAAGTAAAAATAAAGAACAAGGTGGCCTACATATTCGGTCAATATCATTATTGGCACACGTCACTTCCGCTGGTCTATGTCCTGAGTCGGTAATCCGGTCAGATACTTGGGACAGATTGGTCCCATGCAGCGAATTGCCACTGCTTGTGCTACTCCGGCTCCCGTTTCGGCTCCTGCTCTTTCCGTGACCGTCGGCACTGCTACTTCCGCTATGTCTATAATTGCCGGGAGCAGTCCATGTCAGAATGCGCAGCCATGCATAAAAGTCATTCATTTTGGCCGGGCCTGGGTCGTTTGTGCTGCCGCCGGTCAGTAGCCCATCCGGGTAGTTGTAGCGTGCATATAACAGCTGAAATGCACTTCTGAGCACATCATGCTGTATAATAGCTGCGTGGTCGAGGTCTATCAGACACACGTTGCCATTATTGCTGTCACTATGTCCTCCAAGCCCTTCGCAGTTGGTATTATCGAAGTGCTGCGTGGGAAATTCAGTTTGAGGGAAGGAGCCACCAAGAGCAGGCACGTGGCCCAGATCAATTAGTGTCGGTAGGACACTGTCCCCCTCGCTGTGATCCCTTATCTGTGCATCTGCCATGGCTATACGTATGCTCGATGTCGAGGCATCTGCGTCCGGACAGTCGTCGGTCGTCATCAGGTCTAGTTCCTGCCAGCGATCGAGTATTAGATCCGGTCCCAGCATGCTACTACCTGCAGCGGTTGCAGTTGCTGTGAAAGTATCCCATTGTTGTAGTTGCTGCCGCTGGTGGTCAAGTGAACTCGCTATAAAATGTACCTGGTTCGATATAGGATGTGCCGACGGAAGCAGAGGCGGCGACTCGAGGAGCGGGGATGGGAGTGAATTCGGGGAAGAACGCGTCATGTCATATCCTAGCTGCGGGAGCGCGTTTAGACGGGTTTGTCTGTGTCGGAGTTGGGTCGGTCGAAGCATCGGGCTACGGGTGTCGCAAAACTTGGCGAAGTCGTAATCTTGTGCTGGGAGGACAACCTTAAACGCCGGTTCACGAGGAACGGCTGGATTTCGCCGTCTGTGTGCCCTGTTAGATATGTAGATATAGGACATTGTCAAGACAAGGGCGGCAGCTTGTCACAACAAAACGCACTTGTTCTGCTTGTATTCGCATGCTGGCTGTGGATACCGCTTGATACAGTTTCCACAAGGTCGACCTTGGTCGCACTTTTGCTTCCGCCGCCGACACTCACTGCAACTGGTCGTTACACGCTCGGCACGTGGTGTCCGCACGCACACTTGCATATCTTCGGGCGCGGCAGGCAGGAGAGATGGTACCGGCATAAGCAGTGCGTGCGACATGGTGCTAGTGTTCGTATTTGATATCGAGAACTGGGACATGGGGAATGATGAGAGTAGGATGGCTGAGCTTGTCAGATTGAGAGAGGATTTCTGTAACTCGTCCGTTGTTACTGGCAACACTCTCCGGTCACACTCCTCGAGGTTTTCTTGCATTGTTTCACAGGCCGGCTGCTGATAGAAGGTAATGGGGCGGAGGAGAAAGAAGGGAAACCCGAGGGAAAGGGGATACAGAGAGCAGAGAGGGGTGGTTGAAATCATAAGAATTGGGCGAGCTGGATTTATGGTGCCGGCCGTGTGAGGTTATATGCACTTCTCCAGTCCATCAGTGTTTTGTGTTTACCTGCGAAGACAGCCTGCTAAATTTGGCCGCTATGGCATAGGCCTGCCTTATCGTCGATTTTGGCGCGTTCCCGTTCTGACAGTAATAGCATCTTACATTTTGTACTGCTCTTCTGGGCTTGTGTGTCTTTTAAACAGTGTGCCTCTTTTGGTCCTTTTTCCATATCTTCAGCATCGTGCTGTGTCGTTTTTTTTTTACCCGCTAATTTACCGATTGGGTTAATTGTTGACATTTTATTTCATTTACTGTCCACGCCATCCCGGTTAGGATGTTCCACAGCCAGGCCTCCCTAACAGCCGGACTGTCCTTGGCTCTAGTTCTGTTCGTAGGGCTGAAACGTTCTATTCCGCATCCCTCCCCCCACATCAAGAGGCAAGGCTGTTTCTTTAACACACCTTGTCAAGGCAGGAGGTCAGTTCTATCGTTGTTGGCTACGCCTAGCAGCCTTTACCTTGGCGCACCTCGACGATGAGCTGTTAGAGCCAGGCACTAGGTGGCTGGTGGAGAATTACGAGGCTATCTTACAAGGACAGATTGAGGGTGGGTGTGCGATGGTGCAAGAAAAACGCAGTGGGAATTGGCAGTAACGAATAAGGCACGGAGTACCGTCAAACGGAGTACCGTCAAAGAATGGAATAATTTAACTGCAGGGAAAGTCGAGAAAAGGCAGGCAATGGTATGACAACGGCGCCGGACGCTGCTATGCACATTGTCGGATTTGGGCCAGATGCGGCTTAGCAAAAGACATTATGTGTTGCCTGGGTTGCCAATGAGACGGAAAGCAACGATGGAGGGGCCAGATACGATAGACTGACAGCAGACTGGAAAACTAAGAAACATTGAGAGTGATGGTGGCCTGTTGTGAGATACTTTATGCAAAAATGGACCGGAGATACTTGCATCATTGAACGAAAGTAATAATGAGGCAACGTTTACAACGTCGCAGTTGACAGCTGTGCAGTGAGGATTTGCCACCGTCTGAGAATTAAAGTTGTCGCTGTTCCATTGGCGACGCTGACGTGAGATCCTTGGTCATCCGAAGAGGAAATCGGCACGAGAAGGACAGATGGGAGGGACATAAACATGACATAAACACCACATAGATACCCACGGGCATCAAAGAGGCATGGCACATACGGTAGCGAGGCGTAAGAGCATGGTCACATACGGAGTACTGCATCATATTTTAGGAGACTGTGACAAGGCAAACTGACTTCAAATTTACAAGGACAGCAACCAACGGCAACGGCCCAATGACAAGCAGCAATGGTCAAGTTCGTCGAAGGCGCGCCATCGGTGAACGTAGTAGTCGAGCTCTCACACTTACCTTGCAACACTAGCACATCCCCCAGTATCACTCTGTCTATGTGGCTGCAACTGCGGACGGTCTAGACCAAGCTCTGGCGTACCAGGGCCACCCAATCCCCAAATTAGACTTCATCTTGACGCGGGGGGACGATACAAGGCAGCTCAAAAGGAGCATGTGACAGCCACTGACTGTGTTCTAGGTCGGAGCATAAAAAAAAAGAAACTGACAAACCAAACGCAATAATAGTTCAAGGGTTGAGAAGCACAGCCCAACGGTTTCAAGAGGCTTCACAGTCCAGTTGAACGAAAACAAAATATGCCTAAAAACGCCACAAAAGCCACGAAAGCCAAAAATTTCAGAAAAAACTCATTACAAAATGTAAGAATAACCGAAAACCGCCCAGCTGCCAACCTTGACTTAAGCGAGCACCGTCAGATGTGTCGTCATCTGGAAGTGAGACGGCGAGTCCTGCACACACCGACAGTCCAGTGTGTTGGTGCATATCTACGCTCATGAAGCGTTCGGCCCATATAGGTCTAACAGTCAACTGCCGTTTTTTCTTCGGAAAATGCCGACACAGCCATTAAACCATGATCGCAAATATTGTCACGATCAAAATGGCATGCAAAGGGACTGACAAGACCTGGAAAAACACAACGAACAAGGGGCTGCCAAGACCAGCCATTGTTGTGCGCGCGGTAGCCAAATTCAAAGGCCTCAAAAGATGGGCGGAAGCTGTCGAACGGGGTAGCTGTGTGTATAATTATTTTTATTATTGCCAGTAAAAGCGTACGTCTCTCCTGGTTTGATGGAATCACAGGTGGATTCAGCAAGCTGGGTTGACGGTAGAGCTTTGTTAAGGTAGGTAGTATTCTAATGGTGAGAAATCCTAGTTCAGCATTGAGCAGTCACACAAGACGAAACAAGGGGCTTACTGGTAAAAGACTAACTAGAGCTTTTGATCAGGTCGATTTCTTGACTTCATGCCAAGAGGGTAGCTGTAAAATAATAAACCTATACGAATGCTTAGTGACAATATCTTCGTGAGTAAGCCCGTATACTCTTGTTGAAAGTACAACATCATGTTAACGGATATGCAAGAAAAAATATGGCTGGACTCATAGCAAATCGCACTGCTAAGACCGTCTACCACCACAGCTCATGTCCTACAAAATATAATACATCGCGATAAGGAAGGTAAAACTTTGCGAAATGAACGGGTCCTTTCCCCATCGGCAGCATGTATTGTCATCGATGCCAGGCTGGAGTCGTATCGAGTAGGTATAATGAATAACGAATTAAGGAATGGAATATGAATAATACGGTGCCGAACAATAAATAAGTGAAGGAATATCATAGCCATGATAACATCACACTAAGAAATATTTGAAGTACAACATAGTTACTATTGCGTTTACGAGTTGCCTGGTGAGATGCACGGTAGTGTACGAGCTCGCCATGCCACGTCTTGGCTGATTGAGAAAGATCTATTAGTGCAGAGTATGGCGTGTAATACAACCGAAAACGGCAGCGATCGCATTCGACCCGCTGCCCCTGGGTATGTGTGCGAGATAAAAGGATGAATAAGAAAAAAAGACAGACCCAATAAATAAGTATCGGGCCGCAACACACTGGGCAGCACTCATTCACAATCAATATTTACTGCATGGAGTAAAACTGCAAAGAAAAATCAAACACACACATATATATATAAGAAGGGAAAGGAGACAAGAGAAAAAAGCGAAACAATAAAATGCTTGATTGTAAAGAACATATTCACTCCGCTCCTCAGCTGTGCGATATGAACCGTTTGACACCAGTGTCTCTTGTGGCAGCTGAAGCCCAGCCCTTGGTACTGAATGTGTGCACCACAGGCCGTCGCCTCGCGTATGTCCATGCCTCCCTCCTGGAATTTCAGCCCTGTGGACGGTATCCTGCTCCAGTTTCATGTTGAGGCTCCGGGTATGCCTCTTGCTACAGACTACAGACTCTTGTTCCCCAAGTATTCCTTTCGAAAGCCCCCTCCCCCTAAGAAAACAATGCACACCTACGCCTTCCAGTTTTGATTTTCCTACACCAAAGAATCACGTAGAACGTAAGAAACTACCGTGAAACATCATCCGAAGTAGGTATTCTCTGCGAAACGTACAACGGATGCAACGCCTCGAGAACCAGCAAGCGCGGATCTTCATTGGGCACTATTAATAACGTGCAATGCCGCATCATTTGTCATGTCTGCGCCCCGTCGAACAGTTCGTCAAGTTTGCCATGTAATTAGGGATTTGTAAAGCTTGTTCTACGGGCCTTGATCAAAGCCAAATCAATATGCCCGTCTTCTCTTGAGTAAAGTTTGGCTTGTCCGCCGACTAATCCTATTGAAACAAACGTGACGTGCCGCGTGGGGGCTTTCCAGAATGCGATGATCTTTGCCATTTCGCGCGACTAACAATGTATTGCAATTGAGATACAGGAACAAAATAAACAATAGAAAGTCGAAGGAAAAGTATTGGAAACTTTTATTTACAAAGCATCCGTTATATAGACCATCACTATGATCCGCTCAGAAAATGCAACGACATGTTCCATCACCAGTCTAAGTTACTCGAACGTACCGAGATAGTATCGGGAACGCCCTGGCTGCCTGGTAGCCAACCGAGTAATTTTCCAGGTTGCGGATGTGCGCCTCAAAGATTGGATTCAGTGTCAGCCGCTTCCCATCCGCACATTCTATGAAAGTGTGTGCCTCAGTGAAGGGCCAGTTGAGTGACAGCGTGTTCCCGATCACGAAGCGCAAGAGTTCAAACGCACTATAGTCGCCGCTGCGGATGAGGCTGTCTCGAACATCCGGCCAGATGATTATGTCGACCCATGCCGGGTGCGGAACACGGCGTTGCAACTGTGTTGGTTTCAAATAGTCGGGAATAGCTTCGTAGTTTTCCTTGGTAGGGCAAAGACACCATCGCAGATATATAGCCAATTTATATAGGAAAGACAAGCGGCCCGTCAAGTTCTTCAACGGGGACTTCCAAACCACATGGGTGGCCACTGCGGCAAGAACAGGTCGTGACGCAATTAGAGAGGCGGCTTCGCCGTCTCCAGCAGAGGACGAGTCAGCTAGCGAGGGCGGGTTAGTAGCCGCAGCAGCTACCGCAGATGCTCTGGCAGCTGCTTTCAAAGATGAGGCAGATAAAATAGAGGACGCGCCCCCTGCCGAAGCCGCTGCTAATGCTTGGAGCAGTTCCTCTCCCATCACGCTATTACTCAGTGTACCACTGGAAGCTGAGCCGTTACGGGCCGACCGCGGCCTGTTGTCTGTACTCAGAGGCGACATGAGACCCTCGATGCTGGGAA